GCGTTTTCCTGAACGGAAGCAGGGAATATCTTTTTTTGTGTGTTTTTTATTCTCTATGAAATTTGTACAATTTATAAAATTGTATATAACTGGAAAGTACGAATAACAAAGTGAATATTAATTCAAATTGATATAGGAGAAAGCCTAGGAGCGAGGTCGGAAATCCGGAGAAAGGGTTACCTATAAGTACCTGAGAGAATGATTAAATTTACAAATACTCTTCAATGATCTCTCCTCGTTAATAATCCTATGAATTCCGTTTAAAGGTCGTCCAACATTATTTCCCGTTATTTCTAGGGGCATAAACGAACCGCAACTCATTTCCGATTAAACGATTTTAATCGAAAGTTTACCTGGCCGCAAGATCGCGGTAAGAAACGATCAAGGGAGCGTTTATATGATTGCGCGATAAATTGCGTCCGTTCCATTTCTCTCTTACCCTTCTGTTTCCCTCAGTATCTCGATATAACCGATTTTACTGCCTCATGAAGTCGAGATCCCTTTCATTAAGGCTTTTACTGCCCGCTAAATACGCTGAAGCGCGAGCTGTTCGACTGGAGAACCGATCCGTGGGAAACGAGAGAAGAAACGCGAAATAATACAACAGGTCGAAAAAGCAAAATGAGAGAAAAAAGACGAGGAAAATGAAAAATGGAGGAGAGATGGCATCATTGGCGTAACGAGGATTTTTATCTAGGGTCAAAAAATGTTTCAAGTATTATTTTTAATTTTAAATAATAAAATTATTATTTCATATTTTAGATTTAGATACTTATTACTATTTTGATACATATTTGAAATATTGAAATCTTTACTTTATATTATTATTCTTTGTCTTGCTAGCACAGTGTTAAAATAATATTTTACCAATTACTGAATATTTTCTTATTTGTTCCAATTATTTTTAATAGAGGGTCCAATTACTATTTTGGGGAGGGTGGATCAGACTCAAACTTGTTTCTACCTAATTACGCCAATGGATATCCTAAAAATAGGAAAGAAGATACAGGGGATGAGAAATCTCCTTGTTCGTCGAATGTTAACCTGAATCACCCTACGACAGCCCACTCTCATTACAAGCGACTAATAAAGTCCCAACGAGTGTATGAAGCACTCTGTTCCATAAGACTGAGCCAAGATTTCCATGAAATCGCTTCTCGTTGACTCCTTTCAACGCCATCCAGGCTATTCGTGAAATACAAAAGTCAGCTAGCGTGCAATTAACAAGTAAATGACTTCAAATTGTTCCATCAGAAAATCACACAGTTTCGAGATTTTACTTTTTATTTTTACCTCTTCGAATTCGACCAACTGTGTACCTGATTAAAATCTCATTAACCATATAAAAATCTTTACAAAAAAAAAAGAATAATACAGCAAAGTATAAATTAATTAAATTATTTGAAACCCTAAACTTGAATTTGCATATGTAATAATAAATTAATATTTATCAATTTTCCTTATTTTTATTTAAAAATTTCTTACTTGCAATTGCACTACTTTTATTAAAAATTACTGAAATGCATCTCTCCACCATACCAGTTACGGGTTAATATGATACTCATGAATGTTAAGTAGTTGAAGGAAATTCAAGGCCAGCTAAGGAACGCTGATATTATTTCAAACCACCGGGACGTTCTTTGGATTTTTAAAGAACGACCACTTTGTGTCGGTACGTGCCTGAAGGGAGTGAGACGAAGTCGTCGTCGTCGTCGTCGTCGTCGTCGTCGTCGTCGTCAGTGTAGGACGTTGAGAGGAGGCCATAGGCGTCCAGACGGCGACGTCGTCGCCGGCGCCAAGCGCCGTGCTAACTAGCACCCCTAGCACACACACCCACGCCTTTATTAAACGTCGCCCGTCGCCGCCTCGCCGTATACGTTTCCCCTCATAAAATTGAACATGGCGTACATACCTATACAGGCGGAGAGAGGGCACGAGGATTGGGAACGTACAGATAGATCCGAAGGAAGACACGCGAAAAAGGAAAAAGAAATTGAACGTAGATAGAGATGAAAGACAGATGGGAAGGCAACAAAATATTGAGTTTTGATTTCCGAACCGTTCAATCGGAATGAATTGGTTCTAGTTTGCGTGTGCATGATATTGCTTTGAATAGAATCGCTTTTTCATCATGTTCCGTGAAGTCTATTTCATATTAACCCTATGACGGACCATAGAGAGAGCCTCAATTTTATTTTTATTTTCTATTTCAAATTATTTCTATTTTCTACATTTTTCACTACATATTATTTTGTTTTAATAAAAATCAAAATACATTTCCTAAAATGGAACATTATTTTAGCCAACAGCTTGAGCTTTTAGTAAACGATGACGCAACCATTCGTTAGAAGTTTCGACATCGGTTGAAAAGAAGTTATTCGCTAACGAACATCAGCCAACGACAGAAATACAAAGGACAAAAATAAGAATGGGAGAAGAAAATGTCAGGTGGGGTGGTGAAAGGACGCGTGGAACGAAGAGGGATTAAAGTGTGATCCGGTGAGAATCAGGGCGGAAAGACAACGTGAGTCACAAGATTTATTAGATCCCGGTTCCTGAAGTCTTTTAATTACGATGGGATAACGTGACGAAAAGCAAAATTATTTCCAAGAAAGCAGGGATAATAACTGATGTTAATGATTAACAGTTATGATAAGGAACCAAAGATATAAAGTTAAATAGGTATTAACATTGGTGACTCACATTAGAAATTTAATTAAATTAAATAATACAAAAATAAAAATAATAGGAGAGTTTTAAAAAAACTTTTAAAAAAACTACCTGAATAATTGATTTCCGTTCAACAAATTTGCCGGAAGTTAAACGGAACAGGAAATATTGAAATTCGCTCCGGCAATCGTACGAATACCTTCACGCAATAAAAAGTTCATCCCGCAACCTCTCTGTCCGATACCCAGAAGGCCACCACGTTTTACACGAGCGAGAATATATACATCTTAATAGGAATGGAGAGTAGAGGGTGAACTCTGGTGCAAAATTTATTAAAATCCGCCTCTCTGTCCGTTTAACCGTCCAGAAAGCGGCTACCATACGTGAATTAAAGGCAACGACATGCTGAACATGCCCTATACCCGGTGTATCAAAGGAACCATCCGACGCTCAGTTAACACGGTTAGATCCCTGTACCAGCGTGAACTCGCTGAAGGGTAATTAAAAAGAATGACCACGAACTGGCCGAGTAAATTTAGAATTCGGTGGAGAAAGTGATGAGAACGTTGATCGATCCATTGTTATCTGTAACAGTTATTCTTTCATGATTCTTAATATTTATTTATTTTTAAAGGATTGTAAAATAATTGCCTTTCAAATTTATTGTAGATTTGTTTTTAATAATAGTGAAAGGGTTGGGGTGTTTTTACTTCTGATTGGAACTGGAAACAATTGTCTTTCAAAAGCTTGGTTGTGATTGTTTTCATTGTATACACTTCTGATTTTTTTTATTTTTTTATTACACGAAAACTAATTTTTTATAGAAAGTAATGTACATACATGTGTTGTTATTATGTACAGAGAAAATGGAACATTTGGATGAATTTATCCTCTTTGCAACTTGAAAGATATAACTGTTTACGAGTAAAAATGCAGCAGAAAAAACCTGCTTTTATTGTATGCAGTTTGTCGTGAGCAGTGATTTGTAGCACAATGAAAAGATGCCAAAAAAATCTGGTGCCAAACCTGAATGTTGTTCAGATAAATTAACCAGAAGACTTTTTTCCTAGATAACATCTATCGATTGCTAAATATCATTTGCCAAATATTCTTTACAAAGTTATTTATTTATTTTATTTATTTATAGTATATACAACATTCAATAACTGCTTGATCTTTAATAAATTAAAAACATAATACACGTGAAAATCGAACTTAAATCAAAACACAGTAATTACTTCTCAATATGAGAAGTTTGACCTAGAATAAAATGCGACCTCTTCATCGCCGCTTCAATTTCGCTTTATATAAAAGTTAGATTATTAAGCCAATATTTTGTACAATTACCATTTTACCGAATGGCTAAGTGCAAACGAATTCATTTTGCAGCATTTAAAGATCTGATATCAACCCTATTCAACCTTAACGAGCAAATTAATTAACTCAAAGGCCCTGTACTGTGGCGATAATAAATCATTTTCTATTGGCCACTATTTATCCGTATCGTTAACCTCTGCAACTGAAGTGTACAGATCTGGTTACAAGTCAAGCAGTACTTGTTTCAATAATGGCGTAATGGAATAATAGACATCAAGTACAGTTGGAATTCGAATGATATTGGTGGGTATCATCGTTGGACTTTGAATCGATTGCGGAATTTGAAATCGTATCAGCACGCATTCAACGTTTCAGTTCAATCCCCCTTTCCGAACATCATGTCTGTACTTTGAATTTAAAATTAATAACAAGATTTGTGATCGAAAATTCAAAAAAGATTTTTCAATGGACACAGTTCTATATTTCCGTAAAAAAATTAATGCATTTTCTAAAAAAAAAAGAAAAAGAAATGTAAGCCATTTTTATATAGCATCGGGCATAACAGGCTTCCCCAAGATCAATAGCGACGTACCCCCGTCCCCCATTTTACCGGGATGATGGTAGAATTATTATTTAATAATTAATTAACAAAACCAAAAACGTACGAAAAAGCCGCATTATTATGTTTTTTAATTAAAAGTTAAGGGGTAGTGCAAAAATGATACCGATAGCGCCATCTAAGGATATGTGCATGATGCTGTCTCTATAATTGGTCATTTTCCAGTTTTCGAGCCCAAACGACCCAACGGTAAACTGTTATCCCTTAAATAAAGTAATTTATTGAAAATACCTCGAGAATTAATCATTTTTTTGCCATGGTACCCTATTTATTTCGTTCATAGTCTCATCAACGAGAGATAGGAAAAAAACGTAGTCTCTCGTCGGAGCCAAACTTTCTGAATTACCGACGTAACGTAAAACCTTATTTTCGCTAGTTGCTTCCAACACCTCTAACTATAAATTTGTAGCCACTGATACGCGTCCCTTTCATTGGTTAAGTTTGAATCGCAAAAAGAAAGCGTTTGTTCAGGGCTCAACGTGCGATGTCAACGGCTTTATGGCGCGATATTGCGTGCGATAGAAATGTATTACGCACGCCGTATTGTTAAGTTTGTAACTAAAGGCTCAGAAAATTAACATTATCAACGGTACAAGTAGAATAAATAAGACCCAAGGAAAGTCGAAGAAAATCGCGGTGAACCTATTACGTGATTTTAGTACTTCATAAACATTAAAACTTTCATTCGAACAGATTCTGTATTACACCCAAAATGAGTGCTTCGTTATCATTATTAGCTAGCCACGATGAAGTGGTACGTTGTACGGACGTACTCGTAAACGGAGCATGTGAAGAAGGTTTGGACTTTACTCATTTACCTCCTGCAATGTTGCCCCTATTCAATATACCCAGCCTCAGCAATATACTAAAAGTATAATGTCTTTTTTTTATAGAATTCTTACAATTTGCAATAAACCAGGAAGAAATGAGACAAAAATGGCTAGCATCTATACAAGAATGTCAGCGTCTTCATTCAGCCTTAGAGAAAGCTCATCAAGAAGCAGCAGACCTGGATAGAAAACTAAGTCATGCCAGAAGACTTTTAGATGAGGAAAAAAGAAAAAGAAGGACTGTTGAGGAACAAAGAAATGCATTGGTAAATGTAACAGCTTTTTAGTTAAAGAACATGCAAGATTTTATTTTCAATGCCTATGTATTTATAGGAAAGACAAATTGCTATGACCAGAGATCTTTTATTTAATGATGGTGGGAAAAACTTTAATGATGAAACAAGAGAAAAGTTACAGTTTTTAAATAACACTACATTAAATGGTCGTCACAGTAACATGCACATTAAAGATTTACAAAATGACAAGTGAGCTTCTTTTCTTAAATGAAGTTTTTTAATTATTCAAGAGAATCTCAATTAATAATCATTTCAGATTAAATACCATAGCGGAGCTGGACTCCACTGGCTCTATTTTAAGTGACCTAAGTTGCTTTTCAAAGTCAGAAGATGACTTAGATACTAGTGTAATTATTCAGCAACATCAGAAAAAACGTGAATGGAAAGAACATAGACCTAGTGGTGAATATTCCACAAGAAAACGTCATAGTACAGTACAAAAGATTGCGGAATTAAATTCTTCTGATAGAATAGTGGCTACAACTACAGTAGTAATGCCCAAAGAAGGCAATATCACTGCATCCTCAGTAATTGAGGCTATACCTAGAGATGAGAATACAGATCCCCAAGGTCCTTTACACAGCGCCCGTAAACGACGTAAAAGCGGTGATCGTAGTAAATCGAAATTGGCACCAGTTAATACAAATGAAATGCAAATCGATACCGCGGTAAATATTATACAAGATATTTAGCTACACATTTCTTTGATAGGCCTAATTTAAAATAATTATATTACAGCCCTCTGCACCAAAAGCTGACAATCTTACTTCAGGATCAGATTCAGAAGGAATTTTCAAACCTAGTCCAAACATAGGAGGATATACTTTGAACACGAAATCTGCTCGAGGTCATAGTTTTATAGCGAAGACAGTAATCAAACCGGAAATTTGTACACCCTGCGATAAAAGGTATAAACATTTACACGAGTAATTAGTTACATTAGATATCAATTGCATATATAATATTTCAGGATTCGTTTCGGAAAAGTAGCTCTGAAATGTAAAGACTGCAGAGCTACTGCTCATACAGAATGTAAAGACTTAGTACCATTACCATGTATACCAACGGGAAATACACCCACATTACGTGGCACATCAGTAAGTGTTTTATATTTCAAACATTTTTATTTCTAATTTATCACAATGCATGTTCTTAGGGAACTATAGCGGATTATACACCTATGATCCCGCCAATGGTTCCATCATTAGTTGTTCATTGTATCAATGAAGTGGAATTGAGAGGAATGAGTGAGCAAGGATTATACAGGGTAAATGGTGGATCAACTGAAGTGAAATGTTTGAAAGAAAAGTTTCTTAAAGGTAAAGGAGCTCCTAATCTTTCTGATGTTGACATACCAACCATATGTTCTACTCTCAAAGACTTCCTCAGGTATGTTTGTCCCTGGGTATTTTTTTGGAATTAAAAAGGGATAATTTCCTTTGACATTTTTACTATGTTTAGATCATTACGGGAGCCGTTAATTACCGTGGGATTATGGGCTGATTTTGTTCGCGCCGCTACAATTCAGGATAAACAAGATGCAGATGCTGCTTTGTATCAAGCAATTTCAGAATTGCCCCAACCCAATAGAGATACACTTGCTTTTCTAATATTACATTTACAAAGAGTGTCAAGTAGTCCCGAATGTAAAATGCCTATTAGTAATTTGGCTAAAGTTTTTGGTCCTACTTTGGTGGGTTATAGTTGTCAAGAACCATCGCCCACTTCTTTGCTTACCGAGACGAAGAACCAAGCTGCTGTAAGTATTATAATACGAAGGGTTTATTTGGGCTGTTTCTTGCCAAATGGTTCTTAATGTATTAAATTTTTATCTTTTTACAGATAGTGGAAAGTTTATTGAAAATTCCTTCGGATTACTGGGCAAATTTTGTTAACCCCGAAAACTTAAATGGTATCGGTACTCATAGAACTGGAGAACTAAGGCACACGCCATCCACGGAATCTTTACTTAAGCGTAGCACTTCCCGTGGCTTCTTTAACACTCCACTTGCTTCTAGGTTCCTATTTTACTACTATTCTTAATATTAAGTATCGATTACACTAAATATATCGATTTAATTTTTTGTTTGTTATAGTCGAACGTTCATGAGGAAAAACAAAAAATATTTTGCTACACCTCCTTCTAGAATAGGTTTCTAAAGAAGATAGGTATGTAATTAAGTTACAGTTACTTTAAGATATAAATCATTTTCTACTCATTCTTTTCAATACTCAGCATAATGTTTCCATATTCTGTTGCATAACGTCGAACATAAGATACTGTTAGGTTATTAAAAGTACAATATTAGAAATTAAAAGAATTAAAATCTGAATAATATATTAAATAATAAACAAATTATGATAATAGAATCTCAATATTTTTCTATTTTGAAATTAAAATATAATTATATATTTATACCTGATGTCACGAGAGTCCATAACTGTGAAAAGACCAGTTTTCGTTCTTTTCTGCGCATTGTCGCTCTGATTGGCGATACTTCCAGAGGAAGTGAAAAGCGATTGGCGGAGAGCTCGCTGCGTTCCCCCACCATCTTCCAACCTGAGCGTCTTATTGTTAGTTATGGACTCTCGTGACATCAAATATAGAAGTTGACATTGCATATTTATGTGTGCAAAAATTTGTCAATATTTTTCGTTTGAAACACGTTTAAGATTTTTTTTTAGATTAATCAGCAAACCTTCTTTAATATAACTTCATTCCTTCTTTTTTATCGTAAATTTATAAATACACGTATTCGTAACAAAAATTATAAATTTATTATTTCTAGTTTCGTAAAAACAATATACGTCTTATGCAAACTAAGTAAACTCGAAATATATATTACAAACATTGCTTTTTAAATCCATTTACATCATATCTTTCAAGCATTAGAAAATATTTTTAATTTGTACATACTTTCGTTATCATAATAATAATCGTATCACAAGTACATATTACATTTAAAATGATTCTTTAACCGTAAAAAACGAGGTACTAATTTTTTAATTATGGCGAAATTAAATTTCGTGATTGTGGTAATTAAACTACAAGCTTATAAAACAATACGCTATATATTATGATATTTTTTATTCTGATACCTTATGATGTTTTTGTGCAGGATTTTTCTTTTATTTCCCAACAAGATTCCCAAAACTGTCTCAGTCTATTATCCCCGTTTGAACAAAAGTGTCTAAAATCCTGAATGAGTTTCTTCTGAAATAATTCGTCACCGGCTAAGGTAGATGACGATTTCCATTTTCGACTAACCATATGATTCCATGACCAAAGAAATCCAATCTAAACGAAACAAAAATTATTTACCCAACTACTTTCTGAAATCAATCACAGATACTTACCCTTTTATCCTTACTGTAATCATCTTTATTTTTCCCACTGACGTGCCTTGTAATATAAGCTTCATGGGGACTAGGCTGTTCAGAATGAATCGGATATCCTTTCTGTCCTGTATTTCGTCTTACAATATTTGTAGCAGTTCGTGGACGTGATTTTGTATTTGATGTAGAAGGAATCAGTATAAATGCATTGCCAGTCATATGAACATACTGATGGTCGTTCTCTGTACTTTCTATCAAGCAAGGAACAAAGCCAAATCTTTGTACAATTGCTTCTTGAAGTAGGTAAAGTCTTTGTGCGTGCGTGTCTTCTTGAAATTCTGTAAGTTATCACAGACACTTAGAGTCTTAGAAAATTAAAACTTTGATTAATGTTAGATTAATGTTAAACCTTCAAAGACATGTTGTTTGTTTTCCAAAAGACACTCCGTGTTTAGTGGTATAAAAATAGGCCCCCTTAAAGGATCACTTTTCAAAGTGAACGGTAGTGCTAACAGATCACTAGGGATAGGTACCATTTGAATTCCACACATTTGGGCTTTACGTTGCCACACAAATATCTTTTCAAAATAAAACCGAGGTTTCAAAAATAATTTATCATCTTGAAACACCCTAAGAAAGTAATGGTACTTACGAGATCAGCAACTATGCTACCAGACGATGCTACCCATTGTACCACAAGTTCATACGAATGATCCACTTTGTATATAGACTGATACCTTAAATGACCCCATTCAATTCTATCGCTTCTATTATTTATGTCAATGTCTAAATGAGTATGCTTATATGATGGAACTAAAAAATAAGTAATTCTTATATAGAGTTAGAAACAATTTTCAGAAAATATTTAATTACTTTGCCAATCTCTGTCATCCTCGAAACTTAGTAAGTCTAAATCATCCTTGAGAAATGATGGTACATTTGATTCGTCAACGGTATCGCAGCTAGGTATAGTCATCGGAGATGTTACTGATGGAAGTGTTCCTGGGGAAGTAGGCTCACACCACCCTTTTGGCGCTTTAATTTCGACCTCCACCCACTCGTTTTCGAAACTTTGCAAATCACCCAAAGGCGAAAAGTAATCTCCTAAAGATGATCCAAAAGTGAATTACAAATTGATACATGTTACTTAATGGGAACCATTTCATCTTACCTCTTTGGTTTTCTTTATCTTGTACTATGTGATACAAGTAAAATCCTAAAATAAACGGTTTGGAAAAATCACCGGATGCATGGCATATTAATTTGTCTTGTATCATGCCCTGAATGAAAGTATGTTATTACAGTGGGATCAATCATTTTCTAATATACCGAAAAATTATTCTTACATTCATGATGTTAATAGCACCTTCTACCGTTACTCCTCCCTCTATGTGATTATTTAACCATTGTACCGCGTCAGCGCTAACAAATGTTTGACTCGGTAGAGATGGGTGGTGTGTGAGAAATCCTACACCAGTTTGCGGATGTTTCATTGCCTCTAGAATTTCAGTATTTGGCGCGGTGTTCTTCAATTTTGTCAGTTCCATATTTGCACTGCCAATGAAGTTTAAACGTTAGTCCAGGGTTCGTTTAAACAACTAAATGCAACTGGAGATTCAATTTACCTGTCTTCATTAGAGTCAAAATGATCTTGTTGTTGCTCGAGTGAAAGGGGTAGGACAGCTTCACTCGCTGGTGAGACTCTACCTCTATCCATCACCTTAGAACCTGACCTGACAAAAACAGGGATGAAACGAAATGATTATATTTTGTTCAAGCTGCTAAAATGATGCATAGCGAAGAAACACGTAGCGAATAGAAGATTAAGGAATATCTAAGATTGCAATACGAAAAGCCACAAAACTTATTTGCATATGCGCAATACCGTTTGCATTGATTTCAAACAATCAATAAAGTTATATCTTGAATTTATATGTATGTACATCATAATGAAAATTAAAAAATTGTCCATAAAACCTTCTAACTTAAAGCTGTTATGGATCAGTGCTGATTGCTTCAACACTTGAATCCTAACATGTACATACATATTTTATCAGTGATAACGAGTATTTAAGCTTATTGCTGAATTGAAAAAATTTAAAAGAGTAAAACCAACCTGTTTGGCACGTGGCGAGGAGTGTCGAGGCACGTGCGGGCAGTCGCAGCGGTATTCACTACATGCCTCTCCTGTACAGAGAACCCCGTCACTCCCTCACTCACTACCAATATTTTCTATTATACAGAGCATTCGTACAAATGTATAATTAAATACTTAGCAATTTGCTACAACACCATTTTCTTAAGCATACAGCAAAATGATACGAGTACTCTGTATTTTACATTTACTAAATGATGAAAACTAAATGAAAGCAGCTGAAAAGTATAGAATAGCCTGTATATGTACAAAGATACTCTCAATATGTGTACAATTTTCTTTTACTTTATGAACACACCCTTTCCAGAAATAGGATGCATTAGGAAGTACCTTCATATTCGTCACCAGAGTTGAAGCATGTAATAATTTCAAACATATTTGAAATTTTCAAATTAAGCCCTTCTTGATGCAACATAAACATTACACGAAGCATGTGTGTAAAGAGTTGTAATTGTTGTATTGTGTTCTCATAAAACATGCAGATTTGCAGTTTGTCAGAAATTATGTGTATAATTTTAATTTATTCAATTCCATTATTATATAGATATTAAATAATAATTAACTGTCATAATTTCTGCAAAGCTATGTTAGAAGAATGAATATGTTTGTAGTATATTTAGTTATAAATAATTATGCATTAATAATAAAACACACATAGCAGAAAGCAAGAAATAAAGTAAGAAACCATCAAATATCAAATTTCAATGACCTGCCATCACAAAATGAATAGGCTGCAAGCTATACCATTACATTTGCAAAAGGCAACAATGCTGAAATCATCAATCTAAGCTTGTTCAAACCTTGGTCTTGGTTTCTCTGGTAGGCGATTGCTTCCAAGTCTCTCCCTGAAGGGAGAACTGCCAACTAGACTGGTCTGAAAAGCATGATGAAGAGTATGGGTAACTGTAAATGTAACGAATAAGCTGATGATCATGAAGAAGTATATCTCTGGTTTGTTTGACTGTAATGGCATCATTATTAACATAATATTTAGAGAGCGTTATTACATTATGAAAAGAAATAAGGAATAAATCAAATGTCGGTGGTCAGCATTATATGGAAGCTTGCTAAGTCATGTGCGCATTCAAGGCAAATGTTAAGCATGGCTGCATTCATTGTGTAATATGTTGTACAAGCTGTCTGAACATTCTACGTAATTAAAAGTCTAATACATATTACTGAAAAGTGACGAATTAAATACTGTATATACGTGAAGGCAGAAAAATATCAAGACTTCGAAGTTGTTCCTAATTATAAAGAAGACAAGAGTGAGGGCTAAACATGATAATGATTTCATTAACATCTGGATCAGCGTATCGAGGCTACAGGATGCGAGGATATACCTGGTTAGTGAGGAAAATCAGGCTCGTGCTGTGCCTGCGTCTGGTCAAGTGAGAGGCGGAATCTCTCTGAGGAACACCACCTAGAGTTGAAGGATTCTGAAACATATCATGCTAAATACCCCTCTAACTAATCTAATTTCTCCCTATAATTAAACGTGTATATTTTATTTAACCGTGTGTATATGTGTGTGTGTACTGCCGGTATTGGCGATCCACTGACTTTATACAATATGTTATTGTAAGAAAAATTAGTCCTTACATAATATTGCCATTTAAAAAATATTATATCAAAGAAGCTTACGGACAAATCGTGCTCTTTTCAATTGAAACTAGCCCTCGTGTTATTGTTATGTTGTAAGGTACCACACAACACTAAATATTGCAGTGACACTGTATACAAAATGTTGCATAACGTAAATTAAAAAAATGTACAATTTCTGATATTAAATGAAATAATAATAAATTTTCAAAACTAACGAAAGCATAAAAATAAATTGCATTATTTAAGGCATTGTACATCAGGAGGCATGCGACATCCAATTCTACAGTGCAATAATACAGCATAATATAATACAAACTAAATTGTTAAACTAAAGTGGTTTAAAATTTGGGTTAAACAAAAAATATAATATTAAATTCCTCGTATATATACACGAGTCTGTTTGAAAGAAAGTTATCTTTCCTCATCTTTCAACCTAGATAAAACTTCTCTATCTTATAGCCATTGATAAATAGACAAATCAGTTAATATTGTATTTGTAAAATTGTTATAAATAAAAAATTACCCAATTTTTGTTTGGATTCGGACGTCGTATTTTATTTGGCCATAATTCGATGAAACGCAGAAACCCGTCCATAAAGGAAACTTGTTCGGAAGTAGTGAGAGGTGTGTATATGTCACATCTCGATGATCCCTCTAAAAATTTTCGAGTTGCTGAATTATGTAAGGGTAGTAGAAAAACTCGAAATCTCCAATATTTAAGTGCCTACAAAAATTGCATCGTAACTAACAAATTACGATTGCGCAAACATTATATATATTTCTTCATTTTAAATCTTACCTCTACTAAAAAAAAATCAGTATGACCTCTAGTGCAAATGTAATGATCTAAATAATTCCAATTATAATTTTCAAGTTTTTCCGTTGTAAAAGATACCCAAGAAACTTCATACGTGTCATGATGGGGTGCATGAAATCGGTACAGATAATGAATATTGAATGGAGGATAAGGATGCCTATGAAAATTACACATTACCAATATTTTTTGTTTGACTTATAATGCAATAGTACGTATTATAATTATTTACCTTGGACGATATCTAGTAACCGTTATACAATTGTCAAACAAAGATATTTTATGAAATATCCTACCAATGCTTAACAAATATTCCTCTTTGGGTTCTGATTCTATTTGCCGCCCCCGCATAACAGAACTTATTGCTGGGATAGCATTACTACCTGGTGTATTGCTTTGATTTTTATTATTTTGCGGCAAGATAATTAATTGAAAACCCTTAATGAAAAAGATACCAATTATTTATATGAAAGAATTATCAATCATTTTTATGATTAATTTTCCTCTGATGTAATACCTGTGCTAATCGTTGCGACACAAGCTCTTTAAACACTTCCGCAGTTGTTAAAGGCTTTTTATATATCGCTCGTTGTTGTGCGAAATCTGTGTTAACATCATCAGGTAGAAGATTATAATCTGATACAACATAATCGTTCTGCAGACTTCTTTTATCTGGGAAGTAATCTGTGGTAATGGGCAAACATGCTGGAATTGTCAACGACTTCCAATCTACGCCTAAAAAATACGATATAAAATATCCGTGAAAAGCATTCTATACATTAAAAATGACTAAAAGTAAAGAACAAATAATCTATTTAATGTATAATATTAATTTTGTTACTACATAAATACTAAATCTAAGTATTTATAGCAGTTAATACAAAAATACATAAATATGCTATATGAAAGAAGTTTTTATAAAATTATTTCAATAATGAAAATATGTATTGCATAGTCTGTACATGTACCCCAGTTGAAGAAGCAATTGTATTAGTGTTATGGTATGTGTTTCTAGTGTATGAAGTCCAAAATGAGTATGATTAGATATTTAAACATGCGATATAACTTACAAGAGTAATGTTGAATAAATATGTATGTATCTAGATATTTGTTGGTGCAAAATAAATTATGTTGCAATGTCAGATAGAATTACAAAAAAAGTAACTATTATCAAGCTCTCACAGTATTATGTTGCTATACATTAGTAACAGATTCTACCAAATACTAATACATACCATTTCTTGCTAACAGTGCAAGAAAATGCGCCGATTAAAGTGAAGTGATAAAGTGAAAAAGAATACAAAGCAGATGAGAAAATGTTTGAAGAATTTGTGAATTACAAAAAGTTAACTATAGTGTATATGAAATCATTTGAAACAAAAATAAATTACATTAGAATGTAAACTTTCCATACAAGAGATGAAAACAGAATATAATAAGTCTTTATGTAGGTGTATAATACTAATGAATACATATTTAAAAGATTGAATAGGTCTGAAGGAATTATATTGAAATTAGAATTACTAATTTGCAACAGAGAATTTACATGCACTGAAGAATCATAAAGGTAGAACTATGAAGAACAAAAATTATTCTAAATTTAATGCTTTATAAGTAAATGTATACCATAACCGAATCAACCCCCAATAACGTATAGCGCTAACCTATGATTGCTGTTTAATGTGACATCATAGTTGTACATCACACACGCGTCAATGCGTCCAGCGTTGCATCCCAATAAGACGTACCATAGCATGGAAATAAATGTAATAATATTATTCATTTAAATGATCAATGAATTTCAAAAATAAATATGAGTATGTCCAAGAATGAAAATATTCCTTATGCATGATGACTGTGTGATTGTGTATCAAACTTTCATTCAATCTACATGGAAAACAGTATTTTTCTTTTGAGCGTACACCAGCTATTTTCATTCTTTAAAAATATATATATATATTAAAATTAAATTCATTAATCCTTCTTGGTATGAGTGAAAGTTTTTTTCACATGAATTCATATTAATCCAATAATTTACAATACTACACCTACATATCATCAATGCTTTTACTGTTTCCTTAGAACAGCCAAGAAGCATTATGTTTTATATATAATATGCAGTTAATATTTTGGTATCGTAAAAATGGTTATTTACTTAATTAAAATATTTTCTTCAAACTGTAAACTCATTTTGTAATCATTTGTGAAAACAATGTGACTAATACTGTTATTTCAATATGTTATAAAATATTATTTGCCAGTAGTTAAGTAGTTCCCTTTAATGTCCTTATCAAAACGTATGCAAACCTGTTGTAAGTGCTGGTGTCCATTCTTGTTCACCAGTAGCACCCCATAATAATGTCAATGACTTATTCCCGGTAGAAGATATTGGATGTCCGCTCTTATCACCGCTCGATAATGAAAGATTTAACCTCTGGGGTTTACCTTTTGTGTCTATGAAAAATATAATTTTGGCTGTACTATGGTACCATATAGCATATATACTTCATATGAAATACTAACGATCTTGAAAGTGATTTGAATTAGAGATATCATTATGTTCCAAGGGAGATCCGCTTAAAGTGGAAGTGGCATCGGATTGTGAACCTGCACACATTTGTGTTGGTACAGCCTGATAATGATGTTGCTGTATAAGCACACCTGTTGGTCCTGTAATGTTAATTGAATTGAATTATAACAACTCACATATTTTTTTTAATATGTACCTTTAGGGAAAATATGTGTCCATCTTCGTCTGTTACTAGTCAGTTTAATTGTAACATGAGACGGATCAAAAGGATTGATAAGTGCTCTACTAGGTCTAATACTTGTTGGTTGTGATATTGTATTTGTTGGACTTCCGGCACTCCCAACAACTGGCCTGAATGGTGGAGATATTTCAGAATCTGTTAAATCACTTTTCACCGACGTCCTTGATTCTGCTTAATAAAAATTTCTTCAGATTTATCATCTACGAATTACATATGTGATTGATAAATATCCTTTAAATACATGCCATTAATTTCTCCATTAGATTCACTGATATTATCTGTTCTGTGAGGTATTGAGATTGCCGCACTCCTTGTTGTAGTTGGAGGTGAATGTGATTCAGGCGGTGGATGATGAATGTCAGGATCTGACATTTTTCTCTTTAGTTTTAACATATGCACGGTATTGTGTGTCTCCATACTTGCAACACTCGTCTTTTTGGTTCTTGTTGTAACCCGTTGCAAACTACTTACATAAAATTTCGAAGTTCAAAGTTTTAGTTTTAAGTTCTTAGTAATAGTATAGAGAGATGACTCTGCACCACACATTTGAGCATTACTGTATTTAAAAACAAATTTACCTCGAGGTATGAACTGAAGGTAATTGAAAAACTTGTGCATCATATGCATCATAGTCAAATAGGGTATTGTGCAGACATTCTCTTGGATCTTCTTGTAATAGTTTATTTTTACATTGTAATTTGCCGTTTTCCACTGGTTGTTTTGATACCCTTTGCGGAAGTTTTATACGAGGTATAAATGTTGAATAAGGAATTTTTTTGTTTGTTGAATAAAAGCTAAGGTTTATCCAATGTGGCATACTATAATCATCAGGTGCATTGATGGATGTATCCTTATTATGAAACTGAAATCGTGTAATAAATATTAAAGTATATATATATGAAATTATTACGTTATTGTTTAATACCTTTAATAAAGGAACTGCGTGTAATGGCTGTTCTCCAACACACACTAAATCACTACCAACACCATTATCAATAATTCTTTGTTTTGTAACATTTGTTAGTTCTCTGTCAACTTCAAATACACCTACACCAGGTGTAATTACTACTGATAATTGACCAGTTCTATCAAAACTACGATCTAAATAATGTTTCTCAAACACTGTAACAAAGCATTTGTTAAGAAAGATATATTTTACCGCGTATTTAAGTGTATGTGAACAACTATTACCATTTAAGGACATGTTTAAAACTTCTAAAAAATTGCCTTGTGCAGCTGTTGAATTCACTGCTTTTGGTATAGTAACGCCCGGTTTTTGATGATATTCTAATACAATCTTTTGATAGTCTGTGAATAGTTTTCTTAACTGTACCAACACATTACTCCAATCTTCAAATCTTTCATTTTGTACAACTACTCTATAGAAATCTTCATAAAATCTTCCCCTATAATCATGTTGTAAACATTCGCGCATATGGTTTGGAAATTCTTCCAAATTGATGGCATTATAAAATGTCCTTGAGAATAGAACTATTGTTACTTCATGATTGCTGCCATTCTTTTTCCATTTTTGAAACAAGTCAGCTAAAAATCCATTAACAGCTTTTTCAAAATATAAATCACCATGAATGTCAAAATCCCACATTTCAGAACTCATTTGAATAAAAAGGTAGACCATGCTAGTTGAAGAACGAAATACAACCTGAAAGTTATGTTCTTTAAAAAAATGTTCTATATCTGTATTTTCATGTTATGTTTAAATGTAAACCTTAGTATCATTGGTTATAACACCACAAGCAACTCTATCACCCTGTGACCACATTTCATATACCTGACATCTTATGCAGCCTCCACAAAATTCAATCTTTTTGTTCATATATACACAAGTGTTAACCTGGTAAAAAAATAATAAATTATAAAATTATAATATTATAATAGTTTAGTATACATGTGGAAATAAATATATTGTACCAAGCTGTTTTTGAGTCTCCACATTTCACTACGGCCTAGATATTGATCTTTGAAGGTAAGTTCAACAGAATCCAAGGCTACATCATCTGGATTTACAACATTCATATAAACATCTCCAAATGTTCTCAGTTGAAACATTGTTGCTACATTATTTTCTACACTAATTGTTTCACGTCCTTGTAAATCTTCTTTGAAGGAGGTGACTTGAAGAAGAAGCCGGCTAAATTCAACTTCTGGCTGATAAATTTCAACAACATCTCCAGTCTTTATTCCAGGATGATCTTTTGGATTAATTATTAAATCTTCTTCACTAAAGGTCTTTTGATGTACTATTAACTTGTAAAGCTTCATTTTTAACCCATTACTCTTTGGATAGTAAACTTAACTGTAATGAATGATGTAAGTTAATTGAAATTACCCAAGCATTTTACATGCATTAAATGAAGCAAGTAACTTACTATTAATCTTCACTCAATATAAAATATTCCTTCAAGGTATGCAAAACAATTGTTATGCAAATAAATCATCTATATGTACTGTCAATGATGTATTATTAAAAAGTAATAATTTACAAACATAAGGTCCTACTTTGTTTTTTTTGTATATGAACTAAATTTTGCGTTGATATTATATAAAATTTATTTATTTCTTATGTAGTCTTTAAAGGAAGTGTTAACACTACACTAGAGGGATAAAAATTAACATAAAACTCAACAAGATTTTCAATATACTTTATTCTACAGAATTTTGGTAACACGCATTTGTTTTATACAGAGGAATGTTACTAGCCGTGTGCTTCTCTTATACGATCAATATCATTTGGCATTCTCCTATGTATCAACTGCATATTTTATTGTTAAATGATAATCGTATAGAAACGAAAAAGGATGAATGGGTTTAAGGACCAATTTAATCATGTATCAAAGTATATTTTGGTGCAAAGAGATTTTTCGATTTGCTTCCGATCTTGGGAAAACTTATGGAAAGACGAGGAGGGACAGATAAAGCCTTGGAGAGACAGGGAGAGACGAGTAGAGCCAGGAAAGCTTAATTTGCAGCCTTCTATCTTTAAAGATAAAATGTGGACAAATAAAGCAAATGATGAACATATTTTCATCTACAGTTCTCCATAACTAGAGAAAGCCTAAGTTACACAAAACTATTGCCCTATTCTTTCCAATGGCGCTTACAACGATTCGGAGGAGGCCTCGAAGGAGTCTGTGCCCTTAAGATCTTGTTCGCTATATTCCAAAAAATGCATCATATACAAAACAAATTCAATACATTAACGATATATTTAAATAAAATTAGAGAGGTTTACAGGAAATCATTTTATTTATATAAGTTTCAAATTTTCTTGGGACTTGCAAATGCAGTGATGCCATAGTTATTTTTTATCATATTCCTACCAACCGATCAAAAGTTTCTAGAAATGCGGCGTCTGCTAGAGCTCTGACAGTGTTTTGTTATCAAAGAAAAAAGAAAAGTTTAATCTAATCTATTATTATATAGATTTTAAGCATTATTTCTCATGAAACTGAATCATTGATCAGATAATCAATGTATTTCCTCGACATTATATATTAGCAATATACATTCTACTTAAAATGTTATCCGAGTTATAACGATTAGTCATGTCACAAATAATGTATAACCTACGTGTGATGTTTCTAACGTAACGTATCAACATAATTATCATTTAAAAATTAAACAACCATCTGATCAAATGATGAGAGATGCGTACCAAAGGTCTGCTATTGTTGCTTATCTGCATAGCAGGGAGCAGCATCACTTTTATTGCTTTCAGTAATCAACGACCTTCCATTCAAACTCTGGTTACAGAGACACACAAGCAATTACGGAACTTCCAGGTAAATGTATTTATAACACTGTATTTCATTTTATTTTATACTTAATATACATGGACATAATTGGTTCTGGGTGTTTTTGTAGGAGAACTTGAAAGATGTCGAGGAGAAGAGGTTGGTAACAGACTCTAAGTATCTTGCAATGCTTGGGCTGGATGGACAAACTAGCACAACACCTTTTAGTTATAAATCTCAAAATGTGACTGTTGTCTCTCTTATAAGGCCTGGAAATGAACAAAATATTTATGGCTTTGTGAGAAATGTCAGTCATTTTTTGCCAAATAATAGTATTATCATTTATAGTGTTGGATTGAATGATGATTCTTTGCAAAATATTAGAGCAGCTTGTAATTCTACAAAATGTAATGTGATTCATTTTGACATAAGTCCATTTCCAACTCATGTTGAAGATGATAGACTGCATGTTTATAGACCTCTAGTTATTCAGGTAGGTACCATTAGAAATGTGTAATATTTTAACACAATTGATATAACTTGGATATTCTTTTTGTGTGTTGCAGACAGCTTTAAACACACTAGGAAACATATTGTATATGGATTCAAATATACGTTTGAATTCATCTGACATCTCAAAATACCTTTTACCAAAATCTGGAATTTTGGCCTGGCCTACAAGGCATGCAATTAGCTCTTTAACGCATCCAAAGATGTACGAATATTTTCACGTTTCCGCTGAAAGTTTTTTCTTTCTTCCTTTAATAAGAGCATCACATTTAGTAATTAGGAATGTTAAAGAAATCAGGGAAAAAATAATGTTGCCATGGGTACAATGCGCGCTAACGAGAGATTGTATTTGTCCCATTGGTACGTATTCATTTTATTGATATATGCAACGTGTTAATATAATTATTATATAAGCAATTTTTTAATATTACTGTAGGTGCTCAGTCAGCAGGTTGTCGATTTAACAAGAAACCACAGTACCGGTATTCCGGTTGTCACGCGTATGACGCTTCTGCACTAAATATCGTACTCGGATTACATTTCAATTTCGACGATACATATTATGTTCATCAAGAACGAGAAACGTACTTTAATAAAATCCAACCGGAGGAAATCACGGAAGAGTATCTTCTGATCACGAGACAGAACAATGCGACCGAGTTGAACTTGAGAAATAGCATATCAACTGAACGTTAATTTCTCTAAGATCTCGATTTATTTTAAATCAAGAATTAAGTGATACGTCGATCAAGCACAAGTTAATATAAGTATAATTAATAAGTTAAGAAACAAATAAAGATTTCAACCAAGAAACTGCATTGTGGTATCTGTAAGAAATTCAAGTTATTTTTTTATTATTATTTAATTTGTCTACTTTTAAATGATTATCAAAATAAACATTTTCAATGTTGTCAATTTTATTGTAAAAATCGACCGTGAATATCGAAAAGCATCGAGCGTGCTCTGTTTTTCCTTCTGGTCAATTGTTGAAATTATCCACAGAAAGTCATTAAAGACGCGATCGAATCTCCCTCTTAATGGAGGGTGTATCAGCTTGAATGCGACACCTCCATCAAATTCCAAATCCGTACACGAAACTCCGTGAACGTCTTTTCCGTTAATTGGCCTTGGAAAAGTTTTATATTGTACTGTAATTGCGACTGTACTCAAAGGGATTCGTCGTTGTTTGTAAACGAAAAGCGCAGCATCGCGTTGATCATGGACGAACATAATTCCTCGAGTTCCGTCCGGACTCGTATCAATTAATTGGAAGACGGTATCGCAGATCAGCGATATGTGACAAGTTTACAAAATTTAACATACATTTCGTCCGTTGTAATCTTCATCGCATTATCTGATTAGGGTTACTCGATCATGCTAGACAGCGACGTTGACAGTTGGTACGAATGGAAGCGAGGAGATGATTTTAATGAAACGCACTCGGCGATGAGTACGAATGATATGCAACTGATCGGCTCTAGATCATTAAGTCACTTGCAGTCCGATGATTACCGAAAAGAGCCTTCCACGAGCAACGGACTGATCTGCTACGATGCGACTTCTACGAGCTCTAGATTCAACCCGGAGGTCCGTTTCATCAATCCGGCGATATACGCGGAAACTCTAGACAACGAAGAGGATGAAGAGCAAGAGGTTGAGATTAGAGTGAAGGTCAGATCAAAGGAGGATGGACGGATCGGTAATCACGGTGATTTTACGCAAATGACCGATATGATGACCACGTTGTCTGTTAACAATGACCTGGCCACCTCCTTCGTGGACCAAGCCGGGGACCAAGCTTCAGCCCAAGAAACATATCGTTGTTATTCCTTGAATTCTCCGACTACATTCTCGTCCTATAAATCCGACGTGATGCGTTCCAAGTCCGTTACTTCCTGTAGACCCTCTGGCCGTGTTGAGAGACGATGCAAAATCGTCGACATGGCGGCAGATAATGATCAACTTTGTCCTGTCAGGCAAACGGAAGTGCAGAGGTACATTGTAATATAGGCTACCTTTTGTTAAGAGAAGTAAAACTTATCTTTAATTAAAGGAAGCCTACATTCCGGCCCAGGGTAGGCGTGTCACCATGATATTCAAATTATTTTTTAATTTCAAAGGGAACGCGATGAAAGTTACGACGTATCCTGCAGATACACGTTGAACGGGCATCGACTCTTACGAGTGTCCACGGCGTCGTTGTCCGGTATTAAAATTTCCGAGAACACTTCGAACGACTGCGAGTTCATGAAGAAGATCACTTACAGCGAGTGGATTCGAAGAAAACAGGAAACGATTCGACGGAAGAAGGAGGAAGAAGAGATGGCTGAGAGGAAGAAGCGAATGGAGTCAGAGAGATTGGCACGAGAGAAGGAGGAAAGAGAATTAAGAGAGCGTGAGAATTTTTTAAAATGGTCCGAGAGGAAGAAACGAGAAGAAGAGAGGAAGAAGGCTATGATTGAAAAAGAATTGCAAGTGCAGAAACAGTTGAAAGAGATCGAGGATAAAGCTGCTGTTGCGAAGAATATGAATCTTAGCCAGTGGGCTCGTAAAAAGAAGGAAGAAGAGAAAGGTAATAGAGATATCTTTCCATTTGTTTCAAATTTCATTTCTTCAATGTTTATACAGCACGTCGAAGAAAGGAGGAGCTAAAGCAGAAACGACTGGAGGAAGAGAAGCAGAAGAGATTAGAAGAGAGCACGAAGGCATATGAAAATTGGCGAAAGATGGCGAAGAACAAACCTAAACCAGCTACCCAAGGACTTCTACGTTAGTTCATTTAATTTTATTTTAACATTTTGATGATTGCTGTTAGGAGTAATGTAATTATGCATAAATGTTATCCTTACCAGCTCATCAGAAAGCAAAGCCAGCGTATGTGAACCCTACACCTTGGCAGCGAATTGTCGAGGACACCGAGGATGTTGATGAAGATGGATTGAACAGCAAGAAAACACAAAGTCAGTCGAAGATTAGCACCAGGAGAAACGCTATATATTATGATTAATTGAGAGAACTTCTCTTAATCTTGGCAGAAAAATAGAATTATAAAAAGGTCATGGATGAAGAGAGAAACCTTTGAATTATATACCCGCATATCGCGGTCTATCTTAACGCAGGATATGTACAATTAGAATCATATTACCTTCATTTCATAGCAGATATTCTTTGATACATTTTACAATCTTAGTATTAACATATCCTCCAAGCTAATAGCGTTCTTCGATCATTATTTAGATAAAGTAGAGAAAAAAGAACAGAATCATAATAGATAATAAAAAAGAGAAGAAAGTATACTTACGCAAAGGCAATTAAAAGAAACGTGTATGGAAAAGTTGAATACTCTTATTATTTGTACTATTGATACTGTATATTACACAACGATTCATTACACGAGAGTAGGAAAGTGCTCTCTACTCGTTCATACCTTGAAAAAAGGATTGGTAATCCTGACAGACCAGAACGTACAAAGTGGCACATGTTTTCATTTGTTCCTACTGAATGTATATCGCATTCGTATAAATTTTCAAAGGTGTACCTAAACGACTGCATATTTAGCATCGTCCAGTAGATTTACTTGACCAAAGTCTCCTCTTCTTCTTGGAGCCTCTCAATATCCGATTTGTTCATAAAGTAATACGATGGTTGTCTCGATTTCTGAAAACGTACAGCATGGGTTATTATTAAATATTTGTTTAATATGAACACACAACTCACTAAATCTTTAGTGATCCGTTTCGCTCCAGCTTTGATAAGGATGTTGCTAAGCTCTTCGACCGAGGGTAGTCCCATTGCGTAATGTAAAGCAGTTCTTTCCAACTGAGACAAACAATTCTCTTTTATTTTCTTATGAAATTAGAGTCTGTGTGTAATTATAATTAGTTATTTCTCACATTATCGCCAATCCGCAGAGTTTCCGGATACGTTTTCGCAATATACTCGACCAGTTCTTTATTTTCATGAAGCACCGCGATATGAAGAGCACATCTGCTCAGAAAGTTCTTCCCCATCGCTAATAATTTTCCTCCTCCGTTGTTTTTGTTCAGTAATTCTTTTACTTTTGGTACGTTACCCATTCTGATCTCGTGATGCACCTCTTCTCGTTGTGTCTGTAAAAAGTCTTTCCTCAGTATCTTACCTTCAGTAATAAATTTGTGTATTCTGGATGTTAGATGATAATCTTTGGTATTTTACCACGTAATTTGGAATGGATTGCAAAAATTGTACTGTAGCCTGTCGTCCTCTTTCTGCAGCTATGTCCACGATGTTGACATCCTCGTCTGTCACGTCCAAAATGTGATCGTATCCTTCTAATAGTAGTTCTACCAATTTTTCTGTTTCACCTGTGCAGATATTGATATTATAAAATTACTGATAGCTTGTCATAAGTATTTTAAGATCATTTTCAGGGATTGATGTTAAATCTCACCCCTAGCCGCTAAGTAAGCCACGTAACGATCAATCTCATCGACATTTTCTTTGATGTTAGCCAAGTCAGCGACGTCTCTAGCTGTCCTGTACAATTCATCTCTGAAACCAACGTTTATTTGACTTTCCTGAAGCAAATGAAGTAATCCATCTTTCGTATAAGATCGTATGGCAGCGAAATGGACCACGGTTTGTCCGTGTTCGTCCTGAACAAACGGAAGTAACAATCGTTTCAACAATTCAGATACACTAAATATAAATCAAGAATTTATATTTACTCTGTTTGTATTGGTGAAAGCTGATTCTGGTATGTCGGAGCCTGGACTTTGTGGATAACCAGCATCCTCATTTTCATTTTCAATATTTTCTATGTTCTCTTCTCCGGCGTCGGGAATGATCAATACATTGGGTTCCTATAATATTTTCAAGTTTTTTCCTTATATTAGAAGTAACGTCAGAAATGTGTATAAAGTAATTTACCTGTTCCTGTGCGCTATGCTTGCTTCTATTGGCAAAATTGTACAAATAAGTTGCCAGATAAGTAACTGGATCCTTTGGTCTATTGTTCGCCACTTCTGTCAAACCTTTGATCAGTGGATCACCAAGAGCTAGGAGGATAATTCATTAAAAATTCTGCTTCATTTCATTCTCTTTATTATTTTGATGTTAACTTACACGATGCCAAGTAGCGACCCTCCTCCTCTTGAAATATTGGTATCTCCAGTTGACTGTCGTCTGAAAAACAATTTCATTTCATTTTCTATTAATCGAACGACTCGTAAAAACAATGACATCAATTCTTCTTCTAGCGAATAAACGCATCGTGAAAAGCACAGTGAATTTCACTCTGAAAAACGTGTACACATTACAGACAGAAGAGGGTTGAACGTATAATTCCAAATACAGAAGCACATTTACACAACAGCCTCGTCGGAAAAAATGAAGGATATTTTTTTTTTCTTTCAATTTATAGTATTTTACATACAGTTGGATTATTTATAAAAATACACCGTTTGTTGTAGAATCGAATACAACGGAAGTTGGAAAGACACGTGCTACGCCATTTCTGGTCTCGTGTGAACATCGAACTCGTGCGTGACACATAAAGAAGCTCTGGTAAAAGGTTCATTTAAGTTCTCCTCGAAAAATTTCATCTCTGTAACGAATGTTTTTCATTCTAGATACACATATACACTGACGAACGTACGTGCGACAACATGTAGCAATAACGTTCGTTTCTACTAACCTAAGGTCAATCAATCCAGCCTTCGTCCGAGTAGTTAAATTTTTCGTTCAATTATCATCGAGGACAGAGAACAACGTTCACACACGTCTTTCCAACATTCTTCCCTCTACAGTTTCAGTCTACGAGGATTAAATTGGCAGTCGAACGCATTGGCTCATGAATTATCACAGAAAGTTTCCACGTGTAAGCGTATCGGTCCACAAAAAGAATCAAAAGAAATAGAAATTGACGTAAATTAAGTTTGAAAGTTGCATCCGCTCCTTTCTCGTCCGTTAAGTCTGGAAACGTTTCGCGCTGTTACGTTTGCGAAATATTCCCGCCAGTAGATTGGCGATTTTCAAGGAACTATTTATCGACAGTTCCTTCTCCAAGGCTAGGATGTTCAGAACAGCCCTAGAAAAGTCTTGAAGGGTTTGCAGTTCGCTGATGCTCAACGACTGTTGATTACCGATCCGCACCGTGTCCTTTCTAGCCGTTTCACGAATACTTAATCCACGTACCACGCACAGATGTTTCAGATGATCGAATTTCTTGGACAGTTCTGGAAATCTAACGATCACGTTGAATCTAAGGGTATTGCCGATGGCGTACGGTCGCGAGCTAAGGAAGCCCAGCTTCTGGTCCCGTTTAAACTTCAATCTTTCATCGAGGATCACCATCACTTTTGCCAGTCTGACGTAGGTGCGACCGATCAGACCAGGTCTGCTATCGGTAGTACGACACACGATCCTCAGGTGATCCTGGACATTCACCCATGCAGCAAGATCTCCAGCAGAGGACACGTAAACACCTCGTCCGTATGGCCAGTGTCTTCCATGAAGACGTCGATCATCCTGGGGGTCGGAGTCTGCGATCGGTAACAACAATCCAGAAGCCGCCAATTGGGCTCTGATCGGACTCGGTTGGTCCAGGATCTCGTTAAGGGTGAAATAAGTTCCTGGCTCATCTTCGCTGCTCCCTTCGGCCATCATCTCTGAGATATACTGGCTCATCAGCTCGCTGGTGATCACTCGTTCCACTTCCTCCAATTGATTCACCGTCAGAGTCAAAGGGAACGTGTAATCCTCGAGGTTCCTGCAACACTCCATCACTGCAGCTTGAACGTACTTAGCCGGGGGATCGAGGTCGTAGCCTTCGATCGTGGAAATGGTCACCTCGTCGATCGAGTCGGGGTTCTCTTCGCCCTCGTCCTCGTCGTGGAAGTATCTAGGAGGCGGATGATCGGGCAGGTCGCCGCTTGCAGTCACGCAATGAATGTCTCTGATCAGAGGATCGAAGAACTCCGCGAAGACGATGTAACTTTCGTAATCAGGTGCGATCAATAAAAGAGAGTCGTCTTCTTCGACGTTGCCGACGTACGAGTAAGCGCTGCTCGTATCGCCGCTGCTACTCGAGTTACCGTATTTCTTTAAAGCGAGCCAGATCACATCAAAGAGATTGTGGTCCATGCGTGTCACACGGTGCTTGATACGATCGAATATGGGCCGTTTCAGGCAACGGCCGATCAGTGTACCGGAGTTCCCAGCCGATTTCGGTGTCGCACCGTGCCTTGTACCAGCTAGAAGACGGAAACACCTCTCCAAGGTGGCTAACGTCTCTGGTTCGGTTATGTCACGACGCGCGGAGTACGTGTCCCCTCCAGGAACTGTTTGACCCGGCCATTGTCAGCACAGGGGATGGTCCAGAGAGAGAAGATGAAGTGCGGAAATGCGTGGATCCGCGGATACGGGAAATTTGTCAGAATCGTTAGTTGTGACGGGGATTTAATTAATTAAATATGTGAATATTTTAGGGTCTTAGGTTTCTAAGATGTCTCTCAACATATTTCAACAAGTACCTATCGGTAATTTCACTTATGTGATTCTGTGATTAATATGATATTAAACGATGGTAAAATTAACACATGTGAGAAAGCAACGTGATAGTATTATTTGAAATGTAGTCTAGATTGAATCGAATTGTTTGAAAAATGAAAACAACGGTGCTCTGGACGATGGTACAATTTTGTTGTAACGTGATCGATGGTGCTTGCGAGTGTTTCGTCGAATGAAATACCTTTGTCGGTCAACATCTCGTCGGCGAGGTTCTCGTTAGCACCGAAATCGCGGAGGAGCGATTTGTGAGACAATTCTGATTGATTTTGTTTGTAGTAATCTGCCTTTTGTCCGAACTGCGTGACGAAGTTGCATGAAGATAAAATCATACATCAATGAATAATTGTAAGTTTTGAATTTTTTATTAAAATAATTGTACTTACGTTATCTTGAACTAAAGGATTGGCACCCAGATGAAGCAGAAGATTGTAGTAATGGCCATTGTCTGCGAGGGTGGCCGCATAATGCAAGGGTGTTCGACCATCTAAATCGATTGCATTCGCGGTTTCTGGAAACCTCCCTGCCAGATATCTAACGAAAACAGAAATAATTAACGGAACAGGCGATGGAAATCGATAGAACTTGATGGAAAGCTGACAACATAATTTCTAAGGTACGTTCTAATGAGTCCTCGTTAAACATCAACTTTGAATTAACAAATTCATATTTTTACCAGAAATATTCCTTTTATTTTAATTCTTATTAAAATACCTGATGATGGTGGTATTTCCAAACACGACTGCAACGTGAAGGGGTGTTGCACCATGCGGCGAGGAACCATCCCTTGCAACTGCAAATTTGCGACGATCTAATGCACTTTGCAAATCTCTGAGGTTTCCTTCTCGTGCTGCCATGTGAACAGCGTGAATTTTTCCCTGGCAATGATTAATAATATTATCAATAAATAAGATTTTCAAATTTTCTTTTGCAGAAAAAGGGTCATTCTCGTCACCATCTTAATCGCGAAATAAATAATAAAGAAAATAATTTTCAAAGTCTTCAAACATTTTCAACTCGAAGCATGAGTCAGCAATTCTAGAACCATCACACAAACGGAATCGATTTAATCGGAATCCTCAGTCAACAACTTGTTCACTTAATTACTTAATGGATCTACAAAAAAAACGAGATGGCAATTTGCAGATAAGATGAGGTAAGCAAAAATGAATTCTTCTTTTTATGTTACGCGTAATACCATATAAGAAGGAACACGATCGATGAATGCCTGAAGTTCAGGATTCCCCGAACGCCGGCCGACCAATCTTCTCCCATCCCCGTTCAGAACCAATCCCGCCAATTGCTCCATATTTCCGTTCTCCAACAGCTTCTCGATTTCCGGATCTGCCGTCATGCTTGCCTCGTTCACTTCTGTGTCCGGTGGTTCCTCGTGTTCACCAACGATCACCTGCTAAATCATGCCTTGGTGGAAAACCATGCGCACAGACGACCGATGCCGATCGATAGAGGAAATATTAATCATACTTTGCAATCTACGCGCGAATCGATCGCTCGTTGTTTTCATATGGACTTTACATTGCGTGACTTTGCGTGGCACGATTCGACGTGACCGATGGTTCGACGTGTTATTATCCCTTGCAACAGTTTTTCTATGATTGTCCAATGATTTTTTATGGGAGAGCAATTTGAGAATAGTTTTATGTGAAAAAAGAAGCATGAATAATTCTGTGACTTTTTATGAAAAAGTTATGAAAATTATAAAAAAAGATTAATAGGGTATTTTGATTAATATACAAACTATTTGCTGATCAATAATTTGAATACAGAATTAATTTTATTAATCGTCCAATTATTTAATTGAATAATCTTAACGTGTCAAAGAAAATGAAAAAAGAATAGCGATCGTCTGAATGTTTGCCATCGAGTCATGGGTCTGTTGCATTCGGAATTCACACGACAGAAGTTCTTTGCTCAGTTATTTATTTATTGGTATAATTGTGCGTGACAAAGAACATACTCTATAACACTGTATCGATCGTTTTATAATTTCAGTACACACGATACCCTAACTATCTCCTGACTATTTCCAACCACTGTTACTAACTATACACGAACTATCAATTGAACCCTAAGTATCTAAACAGTGTTTAATCACTTATACTCGTGTCACACTAGAATATCCCTTATACTTTTCACTCATAGATATCACGTTTAGATTAGAGGATTCTTGAAAATCGGATTCGTCTAAGTGTTATGCTGTGACTGTACCTGATCTTCGTCGTTTCCTGGATCATCGACACCAGAATCACCTGTGCTCGGCTCGTTTCTCTCCTCTTGTTCCACCTTGTTTTCCTCCTCCTGTTGGACGACCTCGTCTGCCTTTATGGGATCCGGGCTTTTCGATTCATTCTTCTCCTCAGTTTCATTTTCTTCTTCTGATTTCTCTGCTTCCGCTTCCTCTTTCTCTGGATTTGCTTCTTCCTCTTCAGTCTCCTGCGCCATTGTACCAGTTACCACATCGTCATCCGAGGATCTTTCTTCTGTATCCTCGGCTTTTGTTTCTTCCACAGTTTGCTCATCGTCTTTCTCTGCGGTCTCTGGGTCTTTCGAGTCCTCTACATTCTCTGCATTTTCTGCATTTTCTGGGTTTTCCGTATCTTCTTGGGTTTCTGTATTCTCTGGTTTCTCTGCTTCCTCCTGCTCCTCTTTCTGTGAATCTTCTTCCACGTTTTTTATCTGTCACGTTAAATTATTTATTAATCTGGTATTTAATGTTTGATGTTGTGAATATGCACTTTACCTGCTCCATTGATTTGCTGAAGCTTTTTGAAGCCGATTCAGCACTGCCAAATGCACTGTCAATATCTGCACTGTTAACTTTCCTCATTCCTCTGGATAGAGATTCTTCGACTTCGAGGATTCTCCAGTCCCAGTGCTTAGGATAAGATGTGCTGGCGACTCTAGGCGCTTCCGGTATCACGGTCAATAGCGATTGGTCTATATCCGATGGTCTGTTCTTGTAGAAGGCTGCTGCTTTGTGTCTCTAATTGACGAATCAGCAAATTACTTATATTCATTACTTGTAATTTGTAATTTTCAATTTCAGGTCGTGTATAATATAATTTAATGACCGACTTACATTGTCTAATTTACTTTCATCAGCACCATGCTCCACTAATAAATTATACAAAACTCCATCATCCTTTGCTGCAGCTGCATAATGCAACGGTGTTTTTCCGTCATTGTCTTGCGCTTCAACAGTCGATGGATATTTCGCAAGAATCTCTCGTACGATTTCTGTATGTCCCAATCCAGCAGCCTGTTTAATTAATAAAAAAGAAGAATTAAATAATAACCAACAAAATTATATTTTTATTTGTTGCAGACCTTGTGTAAGACATTTAAACCATTGCTGTCTTTGCTGCACAGAATGATGGGCGACGAGGAATCAACTTTATTCCTGAGCTCATCCAAATCATTATTTACTGTAGCTGCGTGGACATCTTTTACGGTACCCTATAATCAAAATTTATAAATTAAATACTTTTGTTGGGATAAAAAGTAAAATTCGAATATTACACGAACCATTATAAAGGGCACAGCTTCCAGAAACCTTTTGACACGAGTATTGTTGCTGGTCTCCATACGCAACCTGTTTCCATGACCTTCCCATAAAACTTGTTGCAATTTCCCAAGGTCTCGGTTGTGGATCCATATTCTTATAGTAGAAGGTTTGAAGTCCGAACCTGGAATAACTTTCCTTTCTTTGCAACAGCAATTAATTAAACACCAAAGGCAGTTCTATTTTAAAACAATGACCTTCCCATCTATTCTTTCGTTGCTTCAAATAACATTTATCCATTTCTTGTAACACGTTATGAAACAACTTCATCATAGAAAGTGCGTGGATAACTCGTATTAAAACTCCATTTTTCATTTCAATTAGAGTATTGAACTTTGAATAATGTAAAGGAAGGCATAATGCAGGAAATAATCTAGGGAATACATTCTAATTTGAAGTAGTTCAAAATGTATATAATTTTTTGAATTTTGCTGTAGTTTCAATTAATTTCAAGCTTTAATAATTTATACAGCGATCATTTTACATAAGGTCCTCTATAATGTTTGACATGGTCCTGCTTTTGAAAAATTCAGAAGGAATAAGATTTGCAAGTCCGCGTCGCATGTTAGAACAGTATCATTAATATTTTAGACACCCGAAGGAATCCTCTGACCAACGGGCATCGATTTTGTCTGTAACAATGTTGTTCTGACAGAAACCTATCAATTTTTAATCCTTCCTGTTCTGAATAAATATATTAATCTTACAAGAAAAATTCAACGTGCCTGAAAGAAACAATCATATTGCAATTGAAGAATCAATAAATGATTCATCGATTTTTACATAACTGTAATAATACACCGATGTTCAGGTAATTAAATGAGGTGTCTAGTAAAAATTAAATTGATAATTGCGCCACGTATCTCATGGTTCAATTATCGTATACTTTCAATTTAAGCGTACATGTATATCATATGAGCCTGTTTTACTTGATTTAAATTATAAAGAAGGTGCACGTCAGCCATAATGTTTCGTTTCGACCTGGATTGCGTGTTCCACGGTGGATTAATAAATTTTTGAAAAGCCAGCCAAGTCCACGGGCCCCCTCGCTCACTGACACGTTTACACTGTACCTACACCAGCTATTTTCTTGGTAAATAGATCAATCAACAGAGGCGGAAATGCTGGTGCACTTGGTAGACATTTTGCATAAATTTTGCGTAACATAATTACATGGTACCAGTTATTCACTACATGATACCAATTAATTTACAATTTATTTCTACCGCACAGAACGTAATGATTACATCACGATACCCTGTAGTCATAATTGATTTATCGTGAAAATTGATCTTTTGCTTTTCTAAACTATTATTCAGATTTTCTTGAAACAGTTTAATATTCTGAATGATTAACGAAAGAATTAGAAGGTTACTTCTTTACATCGTTAAAATGTCAATAAGAGGTTCCACGAATTATAGTTTTTGAACATTCTTAAATAATTCCTTCCTCGATCGAGCAGACCATGTCATTCTATCGATCCCAGCAGTTTTCCTTGCCTTGTGCATTTAAGTTCTATCGATTCTTCCGGGTCATTACTAAGAAGATTCTGTAGGGTATAAGTCAAGGAATCTACATTCATTGATTTTACAAGGTTGACATTAATCCTTGTCTTTAACTATATTTAACCCTCGTGCGCGGCGAATTTGTGGGAACTATTCAATTTATAATTACTTACATTCCCTGACGGTGCTCGCCTTCCTCCGGGACATGATCTCCACTTCGGATAATTCAATTTCTGACCTATGTTCCAGATAATAGGACGCAGGATTGCCCTTCTTATCGCAGATGCTCGAGTCGCAGTCGTTTTCTATCAGAACATCCCAAATGACCCCAGGATTCTTGCAACCAGCACAGTAATGCAATGCTGTTCTACCTTCCTGAAAATTGAATGCAAACGGTATAAACCATTTATTATTATTTAAAGAAAAATCTTGATGCATTTAATATCCTTCTAATGGAATCAAAAGAAAGAAAAATGTGTTTGAAAGTAGATCAACTACCTGCCCCAGTGACTCATCAAACTATTTTTCTCTTGAAAAAGTTTCAAATGGAAAAAGAGGAGCAAGAAATATTGCCACTATTAAGGAACGAACATGCCAAGAGAATAGGGGCGTAAACGCGAAGTCGACGACAGTTGAACGGAGAATGTGTTAGGGTTGAATTGAGATCGAGGGTGGAGAAAGGGGGTGAAAAGTTGGCGTTTGCCGTATTTCACGTGCTACGTGTACCAGAACGCAAAGTCGGATGACTGCAGGGGAAGAACAGGTGGTTTACACTTCGTTATTAACCCTGTCACGCGATCGTAGTTACGAAAAATGACTTTTCGATTATTCACGAGCCGAATATCATGCTCAAACATCCTTGTCACGATACGTGGTAACCTGAGCTTCAATGATCTCTCGATTGATTCTTCGTACCGACGATGAAGATAATGCGATCGATTTGCGATTATTACTTTGTCCTTCTGTTGAACGGTAATGGGATAATTTTGCACCAGCCACTCGACGATGTCCAGTTGATCGTAGTAGACTGCTTTATGAAGCAAAGGGATGCCAGAAGGATCCTTCGCGATGGCTAGTTTCTTTTTGGGCTCCTCCAATATCAGTCTCTGCGTTTCTCCCAAGGAACCGCGTACAGCTGCTTCGTGCACCTGAGAAATTTTCGTCTGAAATAAAGAAATTTTGCAGAATTATCTTCCTCTTGTATATTCCGGGGTTTTCTAACGATAATTTACCAAGTAATTTGGGAGTCCTTTCAGGAAGACTCGAGTTCGGAGATCTGGAGAGTGTTCACCTAACAGACGAGCTCCACGTCCTTCCAAAACGACATGTTCCAATTTTTCGAGTTCACCACGTAGCAACCAGGACTTTATTGTTGTTGGGTTCATCTGTGAAATATTTCGATTATTACGAGGTCTTTTCATTTAAAGACTTTTCAATTAAAGAGTATTCCAAGGATTTGAAAATTTGGCTGAAGACTATCAAAACTTGAAATGAAACGACAAGTCTTTGTGTTTTTCCCATAAAAATATGGTTTGATCTATCAATATTCTTTAACATACGTCACGAATCACGAGTCCTCAAACATTCATTATTGATTCTCCATCAAGCTTAGAGAATCGAAACCATATGTGTTTAAGTTTCCCGATTTAGGTTCGTATTGACACGAGGATTACTCGACACAGGGCGATTTACCCATAAAAATAGTTTCCAAAATTAAAACAGCCAACAATTCTTCATTCAGAATACAGAGAGTATGAAAATAACTACGATTTCCATTTATTTACACTGGTCAAACATTAATTTTCTGAAAGGAGATAATATTGAGTCATATCACTGCCTCGCTGAAAAGGTCAAATGAATGTTAATGATCGAAGAATGTCTTTTCCTCTTGCAATAAACCAAACCGGTAAATCACATGATTTGTGGGTACTTTATTTATTCATGAAAAAAATCGGTTCGTAAACAACTTAAAATCGTTAAAAAATTGGGCTATTATCATATTATTTTTCATTTTGTTTAAAGAACGCTGTTCACCATAATGTCTTTGGAAGCATGACACGTGTCAACGTAGTAATTTCGTTCGAAGAAACTTTTTATTTTTAATTTTACACTCTTACCAAATAAAAGCTTGTGACAGTAAAGTAAATGGTGAACAATTATCGCGAAGATTGATCGAAACTAATTGCAGAATAATGAATAGCTGTGTGACTAATGGTTGAGTGACTCTGCTTTTTTTTTAAATACAAACACTAGTACATTATCTGTTAAGGAAAGTTGTAGGAAAGCATTAATTATGGAAATTGTACAACTCTGAAGTGGATGTGTTAGCTGAATATTAATAAATGTGAAACTATTGATTCAGTACAATAAATGAAAAAACTATTCTTTAATGTCCTTAATAGTTCATATTATCGTTTGCCATACATGATCGTTTTTACAGTGACAGCTAATATATTAAAAAGAAAAAGCAATTGACTGAATAAACAAAGAGTGCAGATTTTACAACGACAGTGATTACGATCAACAAACAAAAATCCGTGGAAAAAGCATCGATAAAGCGTGTGAACACCGTGCTATCGATGCCATCGTGTTCACCATAATCGTCCTTGAAACGTGTAATTACCTGACGGATATCGAATCACAGTAAGCACGTCATGTTGAGATCATTATTCGCAACATGGTGCAAATTTTCACAAACCGTAAAAGGAAATCCAAAAGGAACGTGCGATACGAGGAAGCGTCGCGCGGCAAATGAAGCGGATAGTAGGCGTCGCGACGCCACCTGCGAACTCGTTTCCATAGATTTAGGGTCATCCAGGCTGGACATTCGTTTCTTGCGGGAAACGAACTAGGAAACGAGCATGGAACACGCCCATTCTTCTTCCTGTTCCATCAGGCTAATAGCATCGATCGTGAATTTGTAATGGTCATATTTTTTAATTATTTCTTGGGCAGTTTGCTATCTCACAATTATTCGAAAGAAATTTATGATGTTGATTACTTAATTTAAAATTGAAAGGAGATTCAAGCCTATTCAAAATTATAAAAAAAGAAAAAAAAACAGATACATAGGTGCGATTAGTCATCCTCTTCAAGAGGAATCACATTGCGGAACCTTGATTCCACGTCACTTAATAAGAAGAAACTTGTAAGAAACGTGCGCGAGGCCAACTTGCTTCTGGTGAAGCCCCTGTAATCGAACCATTTACACTCCACGAGAAATTGTAAATCGGACGATAATTGTAATGCAGGAAATTGCGGAAGTGCTTACACAACAGTGTTCGTAACAGTGACTTGATAATGATTTTTGTCAAACGATACTAGCAACGAGGAAAGTTGTTCAACAACGTCGTCAGTCCGTGACAAACTTTCCCAAAATCATTCAAAGTAATTTTTATATGTATATTGCAAATAATTAGTTCCGTGAATAATTTGAATATTTGCATAATGTAAAGTGGAAAATAAATATTTTCCATGAATTTTAAAATATAATTACTGTCCTTCTAATTTTTTGAGTCTAATTGAAGGGATGATAAGAATTCAAATGAACTCTCATTCATTAACAACGATTCCTTTATTTCTGGAAAGGTTTTCAGACAAACTATTATCGACTTTTATATTCGACTTACGATGCCATGCCCGATTATTTCCCTCGTTCGCTAGTCGTTTACCTCGTTTACTTATTTAACCTGCTGGCCAGCATGTTGGAATCGATATTCCTTGGTGCAATGACACATCGATCACGCGTGTATCGTGTTCCCTAATGATCCAGATACACAATCATTAAACATTGTAATAGTCGGTGGAGGCACGTGTTCGAATGCGTGAAATCAGAATTTCGTTCGATTGCCAAAAATACTTTTTTATTCTCGAGAGTTTCCGAAATCGATCAATGAATCATCGAGAAAATCAATCAGTACTTTCGATCTTATTTTTACATCAAAACAATTTTTACGTATTGTGTTATTGATAAAAAATAAATGACACGTATTTTTTCGTATATCAATACATATTGATTGGTACTTGAAAATAACAATTGTGTGACTGAACGAACCATTTCTGCGTTTTCCAAATTATACCATTTCTCTGGAATGTTTCTCAATTTCATGAAAATCGGTAGCCATGATTTAAAAGGTTTTTCACGATGAAATACGTACGAAAGTCACGGTGTCTTTCGTTCGACTGACGATGCATATTTTTCCACGTGTCCTAGTCAAGCATGCTTTTTATTATTTAAGAAGAGTATAGCACAATGGCACTTATGCCTTGGCGTTGCAATGAAGACTAAGATTCTGTCAATCAATGCGACCAATCAAACGTGACAGCGTCGTTTAATGAAGTTTCAGTACTGTTATTAGAATATTGTTCTTTTTTATTGCTGACAGACTGACAAATTCCAAATGTGTGTCACGCTGACATCAGCAATTAATATGATTTACAAAATGCAAGAACGAAGTCAGTCAGTATTTCGTTGTCCTTAGGTGATCGAGGTTGCGGTATAAAATTTTAATAAAAATGGAAAAGAAAGTTTTAATTACTTCATTTATTTTAATCATCATATCAGTTGTATTCGCAAGTGGTAATTATAATTCAATATTTTGTTGCGTTCCATATTCTTCCTTGATTTTGATGTCACTTTGTTAATTGCAGAAAGAAGTCTAAATAGATCAGACTTTAATTGCAGTGGTCGTGCTTACCATAATGTGACCATGGCTGCTTATTACCCTGATTTTAATAGTGACAATGAGTCTGATTACTTGGATGCTAGAATGAAGAAATTGAGGACTTTGCAGGTTGCTTCCTAAAATCATTGTAAATTACAGTCTCAATTTTCCTATTAACCCATTAATAATATCAATATTATTTAATTACAGGATTTTCTTGATGGACGAAACGCCTTTGTGACAGTTTCAATGGACCTGGATTCAGGAATACCATATGGAACGAAAGTGTGCATACCTGAATTGAACGCGAAATTTCAACGTCAAATTCCACTTCAGGTATTATTTTCAACATATACATCGTTTAATAATATATCTTTCAAATAATGCATTGTATTCTTCAGGTCAGGGACAGGAGTCACTACGACGATGTTAAATCCAAGTTACCAGACTTCTCCCATGTAGACATTTGTGTCAGAACCGAAGAAGACACTTATGATAATTCCGTGAACGGCATTGTGACGCTTTATGTGTGATTGTAAAATAATTACAGAAAATTTTCAGAAGAAAAATAATACACAATATTGCAATAGGAATTAGAATAACTTTATTTTGCAGAAGTACCAAGAAATCGTTGATTGAACACATAACATAGAATATCACGTTTTATTAACATAATCATGGGCTTGAAGACCAATGAGGCCAGGTCTGGATCAGATTGTAAAGGCTGTCACCTGGGCAGGTGGTTTGTTTCGTTTGACGATGTCCAAGTAATGTGTAGGTTGACGTTATTTTTCCCATGGACACACCGTAAGATATCAAATTCTGTACCGCATTGATCGCTGCTGAATTTGGATTGCGATCTGCAAATATTTTTATCAGTGAATTTTAAACGATTTTCTTTAATCAATTCCATATTAGTTATTGAAAACGCCTGTGTACTTACTGACAAAGTTGCCGATTATGCAAATTCCTATGCTCTTCGAGTTGTAGTTAGGAGCATGTGAACCAATTTTACCCCATCCTCTGCCTTCGTACACGTTTCCGTCTTCTCCGACCACAAAGTTATAGCCGATGTCAGACCATTTGTTGGTGTTCATGTGATAATTCTGCAACGAAACGATTATGTTAATTAAAAACAAGATTTCTGGAATTTCCATGGTTATCTGCTTGACCTTTAATTTCATTCAAGCAAATTATTATTCATTTTAAACATAATTATTTTACCCAGGTTAATCTTATTTTTCCAATGAAAAAATGGTATTTGCAATGGCGTTTGCTAAATTTTATGAGTTATTTACCTGGAAACTTCGTACTCTGGATTGGCAAATCGCTTGAGTCGTGCACCCATCAGTCGCTGAATGATGGATGATCACATATGATGGTGTGATTCCAAGATTGCCGACTCTTCCCGTCGGTGGTTTTGCACCCCATTCTGATCTTGATATTATATTCGGCTGAGCTGAAGGAATTCAGAGACGATCAATTGCTGTCGTAAGGAAACTTTATCTATAGTGTTTATAGAAATTATCGTGTAACGCTCGAAAACATTTTAAGAATAACATCGTATCGTAATTATGCATCTAAAGTATCTTATATAAGTGATTAGTGAAATCGAGATGGATTTTAATGAATTAATTAAAACAGATGTTCATCGAAGTAGTTCTTTTACAATCATCCATACAAGTCATTTTACAAGCAACAGTTATTTTTTGCAATACTTCTGTTCGTTTGATAAATGTGTTTGATGACAAACGTCATGGCCTGCAGCAGAACTTGTCAGCAAGAAAATAATGATTTCCTTAGAAAGATCGGATCTCGCGTGTAATTAAAGGCGATGGAAGAATTTCTCGCAAATAATTATGTGAACAGTGTCATCGTATTGTTGCAAGGATCAATAAGTTGCCAGTCTAATCAGTGAATTGATCATTCCAAGAATTTCATGCAAATTGAAGCGTAATATGCTATCAATAAATATTCATTAAGAAAAATATATATTATAATGTACATTGAACATCTACAGTCGAGTATGAATTATTCATTTGACAAAATAAAAAAATGCACTTGCACTTTTTTTTAAAACAATTTATAACGTTGAATCACAGCAAAGAAACGTGGAAGGTTTATTACCGAATGTCTCCTGTTCAGAGGAGATCACTAACTGACCAAGTGCGAATAAAATGAGCGTAATTGCCAATTTCTCCATCATCGTTGTTCGTTTGATACTGACACTGGAACTTCAAGCAACATTAATATATAGTATGCACGAAACCCATTTCTTGATCTTTGATCACAACAGAAGCAGGGAAGAGGGGTTTTACCGCACTACTTGTGTTCAATTTAAATTTATCTCTCTTTGTATCATAAATGCATAAAGTAAATGGCCCAGAGATTGATTAATTGATTCGTGCGATACTCTTTGATTGGGGAACTCCGTGAACATTTATTTGTTTTTCTTTGGCCATCGAGAAGAGTGGATATGTTCCAGCTTTGGATAAAATGATTAATATAATTGAATTTATTATACTTTCTTATCATAGAGGAAAGAATGACGGAAAACAGATATTACAAAAGTTACATATTCTTAATTTATTCTCGTACAGTTCATACTTATTTAAATTAGGAACTTTTTATTCATCTTAATTTACTAGAAATACTATAAATAACGATTGAAAATTATCTACGTAAAGGAATGCATCAGAAAATATAATTACTGTCAACACTTGAATACTGTTAAGTACAGTTTCCTTCGGAGACCATACAAATACTATGGCGATTTTTTAATTACTGAATTATTCATTATATTTTTATATCAAAACAATTTCTATCTAGATTACATATTCCATGTAATTGTCCTAACAAATGATTTCGTTCTTATTCAACTTGTTGTATCTGTTGTTACTGGTAGGAAAATCTCGGTATAGGCGTCGATGTCCATCGCGGATGTGTCTGAACATACTTATACAATTCTTCTCCTGGGCACTCGGTATTTCTTACTTGTCGATGTCCAATGACTTGATAATTTTCATTTATTTTACCAAGTGTCACTCCGTATTCGATGAGAGCATTCAGAGCTTTTAGAGCAGCTGCGTTAGGCAGAGAATCTGTATAAAATCATATACATATCTATAAATCGACCAACTTCTTTGAATTGCAATCAATAGCTATATAGATTAATAGCACGAGGAATGAAAAATTGAGATAACGAATAGATCACCCACCGCTAAAATCACCGATTATACATATCCCAATGCTCTGGTTGTTGTAACCAGGTGCATGGGCTCCAGACGAATTCCAGCCTCGACCCTCGTAAACATTCCCATCTTCGCCGATAAGGAAGCTGTAACCAATGTCGAACCAAACTCTACCATCCATATGAAGATTTTGATAATACCTCACGATCTCAGAGCACTCGTTCTGAGTGTGACAGTAACAAGGGATGCCCCCGTGATGGATCACCACGTACGGTGTTGGTGACACCTTCATTTCTTCACGAAATGCCGGTGCTCTGGCTCCCCATTCTTCTCTACTTACGATCCTTGGTATCTCTAAAGAAAGGAACAAAAAATGAGTATCAACTTCAATCAGTATTCGATGCATTTCCTTCAATTTTTGGGCATCAAATGTTTGTCAAAGAAAATGTATTGCTTACCAGTATCGTTTTCGAAGTTATTCCAACTGATTTGTAAAGCGGAAACAGTATTTTGCAGCGTTAGAATCAAGATTAAAAAATGAAAAATAGACGAACCCATCATTGATAGTAACACGGTAATACGTAGTCGAAAGTGTAACTGAATGGGAACGATGAGAGGACGTCGGCTTTTAAACGAAAAATTGAACGTGACCGGGGAGTCCCTCGGAAACTCACGTTGGGTCTTTTAACCCTCCCCGCTCTATAGATCGTTCTGTTACGAAAACAAGAATAAACCTGCTGGTCAATTCGCGAGCTACCAGTCGATAATCTGTTCTGACCCTACGAATATCGTGAAACAAAAAAAACGTAAAATCGCAATCAGTGATGGATATAAAAATTAGAAACAATACCGAGGTGTTGCAAAACGTTGCAACGATAAGATACAACGTTTGATAAATGTATGCTTGTTGTATCAGATAGAAATGTGCATTCAGTAATAGACGTATTACATGATTTTCTAAGAGAAAAGTGATTCCATCAGCAAGTGATTCTTTTTTCATAATATTAAAAAGAATTTTCAATTATCTGAGTCATTGCCGTGTGACTTGATAAAGTCATGTAGTGGTGCTTATGTCTAGGAGTGTATGAATGCACTAAATGAATTTATTATCAAAAATTCAATGAACATGTGTAGTGAACTGTTTTAATGATTGAGAGATAAGGATTTAACGGCGAAATACCGGACACAGTTCAGTGATAAGACATTAAAATGATATGGCCCATGTTGTTTTGGTGGTTTTGAAGTCAGATAAACTTTAATTCAATAATAATTTTGCATACTGAATGATCGTGATCCATAAATGAAAATACTAATAGTGTTATGATAGTCATCAAGATGTTATCATCGAGATAACCTTGTATGTTCAGTTGTTTTTTGTATTAACGCTAAAAGATTAGATTAATGAAAACGAAAGGTGATAGATGTCCGGATTCATTGAATTATTATCATTCAATGATCATTAATAATGGTTAAAAAACCTGAAAATTATATTACCTATACAAATGAGTCATTATAAATGGAGAAATAAACTATGTTGTTAGTGAAATGCTAAGTATACATTTCGCGCATCTTTTTTAAACATTTATCGATTAATCGATACATCGATAGAGGCCGCCGCAATCGCAGAACTTCGATTTCAGTAGATACCTAACTTATCTGTGGTGAGGTAGTTCTCTTCGGTCTCCAATTAATTTTGTCTTTTATTATTTTTCATAACGTGAATCACACGTTAGTGTACAGTAAATGTGTATAAATTCATGTGTTCGAAGCAGGCTCGATTCACAGCGAAAATTATGACTGTGGCATTTAAAAAACTGCATCGAGCGCGTGAATTTGTATGTCACGAGAGTCCATAATTGCGAAAAGACCAGTTTTCGTTCTTTTCTGCGCATCGTCGCTCTGATTGGCGATACCCCCAGAGGAAGTGGAAAGCGATTGGCGGAGAGCTCGCTGCGTTCCCCCAACCCTCATCCAACCTGCGCGTCGTTAGTTATGGACTCTTGTGGCATCAAATATAAATATACCAGTGTATCCTAACTCGTCTCGTTGGACGGACTATAATTAGAATCAGGATGTTCAAGTTTGGCTTCTCAAAAGACAGCGAAACTGAAGGTATTTTCATTCTTCTTTAATTCATTAATCTGGCTCCACGTTATGAACTTAATTTTAAGGTTATCCTTGCATTGTCTTGTTTCTACGGACTAATCGTTTTTGAATTTATTTCTTAGTATTAAGATGGAATTAGAATTTTATTAGGATAATTATTTCAGAAAAAAATGTTGATACTAAAAAATTGTCAATTAATTGGCTACCTGCCTCGATGATAGAGGTATCCAAATCAGAAATCGAAACCAATTATGATCCAAACGATTACACTGAAAATCTCGTATTTCCGGGCTCTAAATTAAGGTTAATTCGTTCTGAGAAAGCTTTACAAAATTTGACCGAGGAAAATTGTAGAAATATTATAGATGCAGAGTTAGAGCATTCTGATCTTATTCCAGCTCGATACGAAGGTAGTTTTTTCGGAAAGATCTTGCTTGATTAATTCTTCATTGATAGCAATAAATCATTCGAATTTTTGTATGAAGGTGGTTTAAAAGTTTGGGAATGCAGTTACGATCTGGGTCGTTATATATTCGAAAATAACATCGAATTTCAAGATAAGGTTGTATTGGATTTGGGATGCGGTACCGGTATCATTGGTCTTATTGCTCTTTTGAAAGATTCCACCGTTCATTTTCAAGATTACGTGCGTGTGTTTGTCCTAATATTCACGACGAATTTTTTACAAAATCGTACATATAAATAAATTTTATTACAGAATGTAGAAGTGATCAGAACCGTAACGATTCCAAACGTTTTGTTGAATTTTGAAAATCGGGAAAGTATATTGAAAAAATGTAAGTTTTTTAGCGGTGATTGGGAATCGTTTACGAAATTAGAGTCTGAGAAATACGATCTGATTTTCACCAGTGAGACAATTTATAATCCTGACAATCATAGAAAATTGTATGAGGTTTTCAAACAGAGACTTAAACAAAATGGCGTGGGGCAAGTATAACTGTTAGGACAGATTAGGTTTATATAGGAAGTTAAAAATAATTTTGTACGAATATTTTTAGGTATATCGGCGGTAAAAGTTATTATTTTGGTGTTGGAGGAGGAATGAGGCAATTTCAATATCTTGTAGAGGAGGATGGTGTTTTTAACATTGATATAGTATGGAAAAGTCAAGAGGGTAATTAATCATTTTGTTATGGCATAAATATATTTTCCTAATTGTTCAGAACAACAATTGTGCATACATTTCAGGATTGCAAAGGGAAATCTTGAAGATAGCAAGGAAACCACAATTGTAGACTCACCCAACACCTAATAAGGTAACATTATACATTTTGCATTTGCACAAAATAAATAATTTTAATTTATTTTTAATATCTATGGTGATAGCCTTTCGTAAATCCATCCGTCGTCTCCTTGATGAACGAGCACGTTATCAATCTTTTCCTTTGGCTTTGGTCGTCTAAAACGAATTCTATCGTGTAAACGATCGCTTTGCCCTTGCCAGAATTCCACCGAATGTGGAATAACGATGTAACCACCCCTGAAATATCTCTGTCTGTAGTATAAGAGAGTCTATAGATTAATGCAATTTTTTGATGATTAATTACCACCAGTTGGGCCGTTTAACTTGTCCTTCCGGAAACTGGGCTATTAACTCCCTTTCCTTTACAATGAGCGTTTGTCTACTTGCTATCACAGTACTTTGTTTGCTAGCCATTGATCCAATCTGATTCGAGTATGGTCGACTGAGGAAGTAGTGATCCGAATCTTCAGATGATGTTTTTTCCACTTTGCCTTCTATGCGTATCTAACAGAAAATATTAATAATGTAGAGTGCCCTATGTAGCTGAGCCAAATTTTGAAACGATAGAAGATAGGCAAAATTTTCATTAGATTAAATTGAACCATATAGGCTTCTAACACAATAATACATATATACATTCAATCAATTGATTCAATTTCTCCCTACAAAACCATATATCGATATCGGTTCTTACGCCTCGTCTCAAAGGTTCCCAGTAAAACGTCAGAGCGGCGTTTGGGTTTTCAGCCTGAAAGTCAATTTAATTAATTATTTATCATGACCGTGAGAAATTCATTTATATAAATTCAACTCACTAGTTCGCGACCCTTTCTGCTCTCATAGTTTGTGTAGAATTTGAAACCCTCTGTACCGTAACCCTTAAGTAATACCGCTCGAACCGATGGAATGCCATCTCTGTAAATAGGATCGATTTATATTAAATATCTTTTGAATAATAAATAGATACATCATTTGTTTAATATTACTTGGTTGCTGTGGCAAGAAACATAGCGTTTGCTTCAAAAATTTGCGGCATCTTACAAGCCTCGTCAAACCATGCTTTGAACTGACCAATAGGTTCCTTACTTACAAGACAATCCTCTGTAAAGGTTTCACATTTGTCTTTGTACTTAACTCGCATACCTGTAAGAAAAATTTGTTAATTAACAGTAATTTATTATTTTTAACTGCACTATCGGTAATAGTTATCATCATCGAAATCATTAGTAACGCATTCTTGCGGTAGAATATTACACCTACTACCACGCCTTAGGATCGATAACAGGTGTGTCAACGGTAACTACAGAAACACGTTTTCCGGTCTCAAATTTGATTTGTGTGACTGTTTAAAGTAGAAAAAGTAAGTCCAGGTTAAAGTGCTTATACGTAACAATCATTTTGTCTGTTATCTTTTTCGATATTTAAAGTATTAATCCGATTGATTTAATTGACAACATGATATGTGTACATCCACTTTAGAGTCACGTTATGGTTGTGAGAAAAATTCTTTTTCTCTAAGGACAATAATTATAGGAAAAGGAAATTTATAATGACAACTTTACCTCCGATGTCAACAGTATACTTCGTCTCCTGAGTGGTAGGTTTTATAGATGACATTATGCGGTATACTGTTCGATCCTTTGACAGTGGTACAGCTGATATTCAATGAAAGGCTAAACGTCACTGACACAGATTATGACTACGAGGAAACTCGTCAGAGCATGAATTGATAAAAAAGATTATATATAGTACAATTGCTGTAATTTATGTTACTCGTATTATTTGTATAGCCTTCGGTATGATTAGAGGTTATCCTCGTTTTTCTTTGTACTTATATACTTACTTGCCTTGCTTTCTAACGAAAGATGGCGCACCATTTTTGCGCACCATGTATCTTTCTACATTTTTATTTATTGTAGAAGTTAATTATTTGTATCTTTTATTTATCCAATTTCTGTAGAAATTATCATTTGTTCTATTTTCATTTTCATGTTATTTGATGTTTATTTCATACATGTTTATTATCTTCGTAATTGATGCAGTATACAATTGAATTTTCAGAAGGTACGTGGTACGCCATTACATTATAATAGCGTGTGGTATGATATGTGTAAATAATCTTAAGATATTATTTTTCGATTGCGTAATTCTTATTCAATACGGTAATATTTCCCGCTATATATCACGCGTTTTCGTGAGAGATTAATTAAAGTATTATTAATCGGCAATTAATAATACTTCCATACAGCTATATATAATAATGAAATAATTTAAAAGAGTACAAACAAATAATTTATTTGAAAAAATAAAACATACATTTTCATACAATTCTCTTTAACCAACTGTTTAATTGTTCAATATCAGCAGCAGTATCCGGATCTTTGTTAAACGCACTGCATTCCGCAAATTCAATATTTGTATCTAAGTGGGAAAATTCAAAATCTTTTCCTTGCTTCCCAAGAAAGACATTTGTTGATGATGCATCTGTAGCTTCCAATTGACTTGTTTTCGACATACGTAATAAGTTTATTTCCTTTTCTAATAAAGCTTTTATAACAGTAGAACCTTTTGCCATAGTCTGATCTTGTTTATTGCACAAAATAAGTACAGACCTTTTCTGTATACCGGGATCGGATAGTAAATTATATAAAAACCTAAAGGATTAAAGCTCTTGTTATTTCTGTTTTAGAATGTGATGAAGCATTACTTATGGGTACTTACTCTGCTACGTCTCGGATATCCTTTTGGAAAGTCACAGAATCAATCACATAGACAAGTCCCTTTGCAGATAACTTGAATTGATCGAAATATTTGTAGCGCAATCTCTCGTGACCCGGTATGTCAACGATTTTCAAGGAATGCTGAATACATGAACAAATGTGTTTAAGTATGTAATGGTTTGTATCATGTTAAAAAATATATTTACAGAGACTTACATTATTTATTATGATATCTCCTGTATTTTCTTTCACAGATGTATGTGTTTTAATAAATTTGGAACACAGCAGACGTGCATATATCAGTGTTTTACCAGCATCACTGAGGCCAGTTAAGAGTATATTGTTTCCTATAGACCTTCTCCTTCTCCATATGGCAAACAAAACTGAACAAAGAAATAAAATAGCAGATTATAAACAATATAGTAATGCCTACATCTGAACCATTAGTACCAAGAAAATGATTCCACAGACTTAAATGTATGAATATTAAATTTGCAGTCTAAAGAAATTTTCATACAATAATGAATCTATTTTTGTATTACATATATAATCACAGAAGTATGTTTATCACATTTTTGGTAACATCTGTTGTGTTTTTTAGGACTGTTTGTACTGTAGCAGATATTATCACATTCATTAATCTTAAATAAAGACAAAACATGATGTATGTGAGAGTTTACAAATGATGAGAGTATATATGAGATGGAGTATGAATGAGACAATGTCTATATCTTTCATGCTGTGTGTGATATACAAATGTGTAGTAGCTAAACATATTTTTAGTTCTGCTAAGTGTAAGTACAAAAAAGAACTGTGATGTTATTTTGAATAATATGATCATAAATAAGTAGAAGATATTATTTCTTGTCTCCATCAGGTATTACTGTGAAGTGTAATGAAGTGTTTAATACATGAAACCACTGGACTTGGACATGCTGCACAACAAGCATAAGTAAGTTATAACCTACAAGTATGTATTTGCCTACCTATAGTTACTATAATGGCAATTACGGCAGCTACTATGCCCATAAACTGCGAATCCACGTTGTGATCTGTTAGCGGTTTTACATATTTTTCCATCGTGGTAGTGTTTTATATTTACGTTAGATCACCTCGTGGACGTGGATTCTGTAAAATCACATTAGTAATTGTATATGGATATATCATAAACGAGGTGTAAGGTAGATCTACGATGCAATGTAAAAATCTCTATCATATCCTGCTATACCAGCTGTTATTCATTCCACGAGAGATCATACCTATTGAACGACGAGTTTCCGTTCTGCGCATGACATCTATAATTCGTTCATGCGCGCGCCGTCTGCGCAAAGGTGTAGCGTCACCAAGCGTCGTATCCGGTGGCCTTTTATTTAGTATACCCATCAATATCTCCGCGTTTGTCCTTTATTCATATATTTTTGTCTACCGTGTATATGATCGTTGGGGTGAAAAGTGTATAGTAATGGGTTAGTGCTAAGTGAGGGTGAGTTTACTGAAGTTAGCTGAGATGCGCAATATAAGTACGTATGGCCTCACTTTGAACGAATAATTAACACGATTGAAATTTTACTATAATGCTTTTGGTGGTAGGAATTAAGATCAAAAACATGGTAGATCTCTTTTATATTTCGTCTTTGGTGTACATAAGTTTCTATAACAATTGTGGATAAGGTAGAAAAGGTCTATACAGGATGTCCCCGGATTAAACGATCAAACTGCACTATTATGTTCTATGAGTAAAAATAAGTAAAAATGTTGGCTGAACTTCGTCTTGGGGGACCAAAAATTTCTGGATGAAAAGTATCAAATCTTATACTTTTTGACCTGAAACATTCGAAAATGCAAGTTAAAAGTCCAGGAAACCAATAGTTTAAAAGATATGAGTACATGAAAATGTGTGTACTTGGCGTACTTTGACAGGTCAGTACGACGCCATTTGGTCCAATGAGTGGAGTCGCCGTCGGTAAAACAGAATTATATAAGTGGTGGCCTAAACCCGGTATACCTAAGGTTAAGTTTTTTTTTTTATAAACAATATCCCCTCGGATTTGATAGGAACTGAAGGTACTCACACCCAACAAATAGAGTCCAAACAAAGGATTGGATGCGGGGAAGAGTCAATGTGACATCGTACTGTCCTGTCAAAGTACGCCAAGTACACACATTTTTATATACTCGTATCTTTTAAACTATTGGTTTCCTGGACTTTTAACTTGCATTTTCGGACTTTTCAGGTCAAAAACTACAAGAACACATATTTTGGACTCGTTAATTTTTGGTCCCCTAAGACGAAGTTTAACCAAAATGTTATATAAACATAGGTCTGCAGAACATATTGGTGCAAATTGATCGTTTAATCCGGAAATACCCTGTGTATTGTAGGTTATATAGGTTGCATCTTTTGTCAGTATATTTAGCTTCCACTATGCGTTAACAGATGGCAGGCTCTGACACCATTTTGTTTTTCAGTTATCTACTGCAAATCACAATTTTCTTAATTAATAATTGAAGAATTCCATGAAACTTAATTAATATCCAGTTTCTAATAAAATTGTTTTTGTTTGTTTCAGTTTTGGGAAAATTGAGGAGGAGCCTGGAGAGATCCTGAGGAGAATCTGAGGAGATCCTGAGGACAGCCTCACATTGGACCCCTTCTTTGCACGCGAAAGGGTAAGTACTGTTACCTTTACACTTCTATCTCTTTATTGAAATAGAAAAAAAGAAAGTAGAAAGCACTTGCGCCACGGTCACGGTTGTTTCAATCGTTTTAACGAGGGGTCGTGCGTTTCCATATTCGGTGGACGGCGAAAAAAAGGGTTTTGTGCGAGCAAGTTTCGCCGCTATCAGATCTTTCTGTCGGCGACGTATCCGCGAATTTATTGCTTCGCTTCCTGGCAGAGGCGGGAGAGCACGATCTCTCGCCGAGAATTCCCTTTAGGATAGCGCCTTGTCTGTCAATTCCTCGCTATGGTCAAGACACTTGGTTCCCCTCATCGATTATCTGTCCTCCCTCGAGGTTTCCATACAACCAGAACGCTCCTTCAGCTTGCTAACCAGTTCGCGTTCATGAAATGTTTCTTTCTTTTTTCTTTTACCTAGTTGAATTTTCTGTTCATTATTTTTATACCATTTATTCATATTTATAGTATAATGTATACCTTACGTAAATTATCTACTTATCTAATTCCGTCGAATAAGCATCCCTTAATCTTTTCGACAAGATATTTTGTAAACCATTGCTTTAATTTATTTAAATTATACGTCATTTAATCTGGGATCAGTTCATTTATCCATAATCACTGATGGCATGTCTGTGATACGTTGACAGAGGACGTCTGGACATTAATAGCGTGTCCGGAAGGATCTTGATAAATTCGCCAGCTTGTTCTTAATTACCTCGTGTATCCCTCGTTATTAAATGCATATCAATTATCATTGAGTCGATCGGGTTATGTAAACGGTGAGAAGATGATGGGTTTCATCATCCAAATACATCTTGCTTCTATTGCACGGGGAAGGTATGTCATCTTCGCAGAACATACTTCTTAATTAGCCTAATGTTAGATCGTCATCATCCGAGACACGACTGTACATCAGATAATGTCATTTCGGTATGTTTTTTGACGATGGTATCCTCGTTAACGCAATGAAATGTAATAGGTATATATTTCCTTCAACCCGATGATCATTAGTTTGTTAAACTCGAGTGTTTGAATAATAAATTATAAAACGTGATATCCTCCTTGAGAGCAGAGATTGGAGATATTAATTATAGTCGAAGTAATAGGTTCAAAATTTTAAAGGGTTAATTTTTCAAATATTTTAACACGGTACTTGGGGTCCACCATATAATTTTTATTCTGTACGGGTTAAATATCCCATAACTTATGGAGGCGAATGTACATCGTCCACAGGAAAACGATTCCTCGGGAACGGGAGCAAAAAATGCTCGCAACTTGATTCACGGAACCAATGACTTAATGAATGAATCGTGTCGCGGAAACAAGTGGAGGAGTCTCTTTAAATCCGCAATCAGTTTCAGTTCTTTATTACCGGGTCCTTAGCGGGACGGCTATTAAGGATCTTTGATTTCCTTCACATACATATACAGGGTGGGCCATGCAATTGTTTCAGGTGATAACTTCGCTATTAAGTGCTATTAACTGCGCTATTCTTTTGCACAGATCGATTCCCCTGTTAATTCTCCTTGTTAGTCCTATTCGAACCATTTATCTCCCTCCTTTGCCATTTTCTCGTGAATGCGTTAATAACGGAGTTATCGCCTGAAACAGTTGTCTGGCCCTCCCTGTATACTTTCACCGTGCTTTTGTCCCGTCGTGCGTTTACCGATCGAATCAGAGTGAAAGGGGGAGGTCGGAAGAGTTAAGGTAAAGGTAGAAGGGTTAAAAAAAAAAAAATCGGGACACGTCGGGTTTCGGGCTACCGTAAAAGCGAACAGGAGAGAGAGAGCCAGAAAGAAGGCAGAAGATATCGTTGGCTGGTAGAAAAAGGAGGGCGTCGTGATAAAGTACGGCAAGAAGATAGGAGAGGATGTGCTCGAACCGAGGGATGGAGGGGGTGAGAGCATGGTCGCGCCGATCAGAGTTTCTTACGGCGCGGTGGGACAGAAAGATCCGCCGCAAAAAAGGACCGCCCTGGCTGCGTGGACGCGCAGAATCTGCAATTATATCGCAAAAAAGGAGCCGAGTGTCCGGGACAAACTGCTTCCTGGCCCGTAAACAATGCTGCCAAATAAGTCGGCGGGCATAAATCGTAGCCGTTCGCTGGTTTCGCCGGGCTCGGTTGCTGTTTGGCCAGCGTGCTCGTGCGAGAAGCTACCGAGCCGCGTCCCAATCGTACGATAAAAAGCCAATCGATCGCTAAACTCTTTATTCCACCGCTGAAAAGCTCGATGGGATGGAATCGGGAGGATGAGACCAGCTTGAAGGAGATTCGGATTTACGAGTTCGGATATCGCGATATAAAGTTTCTTATTGGTATACGCATCGATCCGCGCCAGATGAATGTTGCTTGATATATCAGTTCTGTTTAATCGAACTCATAAGTAATTTTCTTGATCATCCTACCTGGAGAGGTGTATCGAATCATCGATTTTAATGAAACTGTTAAAAAATGTTGTATACTTCTTTCTCTTTATAAATCGTTTCCCATATAGGGGCAGATACCCGAAAGTTTCTGAGTTGGGAATGATTTATATAAATTACTTCATTATTAGCATTGTAAAAATTATCTTAGAATTTTTGAACGAAAGTCAGACATTTCAAAAAATGAAATGTTTTAATTGAGAGCTTGACTGACCGTAATGGACGTCGACGTGAACTTTTATTGGAGATCGATTTTCGTGTCTGGACAATTACTGATCGATTCGCCGAATCGGGATGCAGACATAAAATTTTTATGAGCTCCGACCGAGGCGTTTAATGCCGATGATCAGACTTTGGAATACTTAATTCACGACGTTCAGATTTTTTGTTCCCTGTCTT